CCTGCCTGTTACTCAAACGTTCTCCTATCTCGTCCGCGTGGCGTCCCAAAACCATTGGCTACTTCAAAGGCACGAGCATTTTACATTACGTGCATTAGGAAATGTAATTCTGCAATTAAACTGTGGCTTCTCACAGCGGAGACACGGGTCCAGTCCCGGAGGAATCCCCGTATGCGGAGAGCAGAGAGCAGATTGGCCCTGGGGCACGTCCTCCGTCTTCCATATTCCTCAGTTATCGTCGTCGTCTGTTATCAGTCAAGCTTAACGTTTGACTGGGCTTTCAGCGGATCTCAGAGTAAGGGTTTCTTTTTGTGAGGAGTCACTTCTGACACATGCTGTACCGCATCGCCTGTTTCTCATTGACCTGCAGGCCTATTAAACAACGAGGTTTGTCCACAACCCCCTGTTACTAATATATTGTCCTTCACGTACAGGCTGTTGCCACATAAACCATTGATTTCTTTCTGGTGATTCTAGTTTATTTCACCAAATTGCAGGCAGTGGGTGTGGCCTCAGAAACGCAAGTTAGCCGTGGGTGGTGGTGGTGGGGGGTGTTAATTTAAAACTACGAGATAAATTAAAGGAGAGAAATAGGTTCTTATTTCGCTGTCTGAGATATAATTTGGACAGGAGGGCCCTCTGCGGTTGTCATAGGTGAGTCTTAGCTCAGTTAAGTGACGTGACTGTCTACGGACTGGGCGACAGTGGTTCGTGGTTCGATTTTCACATTCTACCCAATACCAAGCGATTTTTCCTTCGGTGTAAATCGGCCGGAGCGTGAAGCAGCCGATGACATCATCTAGTGCCGTTGAGTGGCTCCGTTCATGCACTGAAAATAAATTACATGATCAGTGATTGTTTTCATAAAATCTTCAGCAGAGTTGTTTGTTTAACGATGAGTTTTATTGGAGTCAGAAACAACGTTTTGAGATGACTAGAGTCAAATATTAGTTACTGGGATATCATCATTCGGCTGAAAGCTGCGAAAATTCTTTGTGTCCGGGGAATAAATGAACAGGCGACAGACATTACGTACGTCGCGTCCCTTTTTTTTAGCCTGAGATACGTACAGATTTAGTGAAGAGATGTGGTGGGGCGCTTTGGAACTGGGTCGTGAAGGCGGGGGTGAATTGGAACTATTTCGTGTGTGGGGTCTGAGGTTTTCAGCTGATAGTTTTGCTATACCAGTTGGCAGCTGTGAAATCTAATAATGAAAGAGGGGGGAAAAACTCTCCCTCATCAGATACTGGCACCCGAAATTTATGGGTTTCTCAGAATACAATGTTAAACAACCTATGGCTTCACAAACGCTTGCGTTTCCTAGGAAACTGACGTTGTACTCAGAAAAGTGAACGAAAAACCGACGGAATCAAGGCCAATGAAGAGAATGAAAACAGCCGACGAAGCTCCAAAACTACTGTTCATGACGCAAGCTGGCCCCCAGAAAAGAGGGGACTGCGGAAAAATACGGCAGAAGGCCAGGGCGCGGTCTATGACAGTAATCCGACACACAAACGTACGAATGCGATGCACGCGGCGTCCCTCGCTTGGTTAGGTTAGGTTAGGTTAGGTTAGGTTTGTGAAGGAGGACTAAAGAACCCCTAGGTAACAGCATAGTAAGCACCGGGAAACGCTGAACAGTAGCCGATATCATGCGTTTCGTTGTTAAGCCATATCAGAGCCCGTGTTTTAAATGTTGTGTGCGAGGCTAATACAAGTCACTGTCTATTTGTCCAGTCACTGGAGGCTCAGAAGGATCTGTGTCCTGGATTTGAATCTCGAATCCTCTTGCACATTTCCCTTCGACTGTGAAGATTGGGGCAACGTGTCCCTCAGAAAATCGTACAGACACGAAGCAACCTTGAAGAACCACGATATAAAATTTCACAACCGTGAAGACGTGAGAATTTTATAAAACCTTCTTGTTTTAGACGAATCCTCATATTCGTTGTACGATTGTAGATTGGAAAGGAGAGCTGCGTGGAGTACACCAACTTTCCAGAATTGTTCTTCACGCCAAAATTTGTGCATATACTGTTCTTAATTCTAAATAATCATTGCTTTACTTTTTAGTGGTGAAAGCAACCGTACATTTTCTGTCGACGCACAATACACATTTTGAGACTAATGTACACCAGTAGCGAATCCCAGTCTGCAATTCTGGTTATGCTGAAATGTAATTTTATTAAATATCTCTCTCCCCCTATAATCGCACAACAGTACTCTCATTGTTATTATTATTATTGTTATGACGCTGTTGTGTTATATAGTTTTCATATTCCTCCACTTTTGGTGGTCTGCGAGCTCACTATAGCCACACCGGGGCTTTGGCCTCTGATGCACAGGCATCCATGGAAATGCAGTAATTAATTATTAGGTATGCTCAATAATTCACTCACGTCAACAAATCATCCACTCTTCTGCGTTACCATGGCAACATAACAATTCAGTACATATCTGATAACCAAACCTCTGACGGATTACTGCATAAATAATTCGTACGATTATTTACGAAACAACAACATTGTTAGATGTCAGCACAAAAAAGATGGTATTCATTGCTCTGATGATGGAGACTGGAAGCACTTCTAATACGTCTGTCAGCTTTTGCGAGACTTCAGAACGTAGATCCCGAAAGAGCCTGAAATCTCTCTCAGCATTGGTTCACATAATTCACGTCATCATGGGCGCCAGAACCCAGCTCGAGCTCTCATAACAAGTGATTATTACAGGGTGGGGGGGGTGTTAGCCCCATGCCCAACCCCCAACCTGTAAGATCAGGCCTCCGTATTTATATCCCCCGGAGGCAGGGTGGTCCAGCTATACCCCCAGACCCCGGGTACCCATTTTAGTCGTCTCTTACGACATGCATAGGCTTCAGTGGGACTGTTCTTATTCTCCGACCACCTCACGGAGACATAGTTCACGTAGCCACTGATAAATGGCAGCACGATCAGTTGATGACAGACACAGAAAGGCAGTAAGTAGACAGACAGTATGGGGCTGATCGATTGCAGCATGAATAGTTCACACATCAACTAATAGGTGGCTGCACGATAGGTAAGCACGTCGACATTGATCACTTCCCAAATTAGAGCATCCGTCACGTTGGTATTACCGATTGTAGGAAATGAAGGCAATACCCGCGTGATGAAAGGCAAAAAATAAATATTTACCATAGTAAATGGTGCAAAATTCCAGAAGACAGCCATCGTCGTGTTATTACATGAACTATTCCTGTGTAAACCCTCAGGGGCTGACTTTATTGGGAACGGGAAGTGGCGACTCTTCAAAGAATCCAAGGCCCTAAAAAAGGGCTGTAATGCCACGGAGTAATATTAATAGTAGTCACTATGTTGTTTTTTGGGGGGGTTGGGGGGGGGGGGAAAAGTTTCTTTTGTCTGTAGTTTTATGGCAGTTGCGGATAGGTGGCAGAACAGTTCTTGACTGCCGTCATAAGCCATATTCATTGCCAACTTTCAACATTGGGTTACCGATGTGTATGTTGGTATTTATGCCTCGCACGTACGATGAAGATAAAATTTATATTCATTATAATCTGGTCGATGGTGTATTGAGAATATAAAAGTACTGGGGTTATTTTTGTTCTATTTTTCACCGTATTATTCAAGGTGGTGCTTAAATATGGGTAAATACCATATCAAGGTCAGATTTTTCACTAACAGTGATCTAGTACGATTTTAGTTAATAATGGGAAATTAATTTGAAAGCGTTGTACAGTTAGTTCGGTAGGACAGGAGCTATGACCTTGAGTTTTGCATTACTTGTATGAATAACTCATAGCTCAAATTCCACCCAACTAACTGGCTGTTCTTGGTGACATTACTGTCAACGAAATACAAGCGTGGGTTAATCTGATTGGTATTTTGTTGCCTTAATTACTGGTGTTCTGGTAATATATCAAATTCCTACATAAACCATAGCTTTCCTTATCTTTAAAATAATACTTGTGGCGTGTAATCACTCGTGTCTCGCTATAGACCCAAGTGAATTGAACAGATTCAAGTAAAATCCTCGGCTTCCTGTAATTAAACTCCATCCACCCACTTCTTATATGCATTATGATGACCTTTGCCCAGTTTACATGGTGAAATAAAAAAATTAATATGTCGCTGTTTTTAACATTTAATGCGTATTAACAGATAATAATTTCTAATGTTCAAATGCCAATGTGCACGTCTGATGAAGCATTATGAAGTATGAAGAGTAGAATAATAGAATATAATTTATGTACAATACATAGATCACTAATAAGCCGAAGCCAAGGATACAGAACGTGTCAGAACACAAATAAAATACTTGTTTTAAAAACAAATTACATAGTTTTAACAGTAATTTACAGTCAAGTACAGCATTACTGGAAACCATATCCATAATTGTATGCAGTTCAGGATTTTAAAACATTTTCACTCTCTGCAGTAGCCTTGGTTTTTGACATTTATTTGTTGTTACAGTATGCTGTACATTAATGTATGTTAATGGTTGGATTCTGGTCTCTTTGTTGGCAAATACTGGTGACTTTCATTATATGCAGGGAAGTGTTTTTGTGAATTATTACACATATAAAATTGTGTAAGTCAGGAAATATATAAGATGCCTGTGGAATTTCTGACTGTTATACCATGATAGGTCCTAATTTGTAATCAGCAGTCACAATGGTGGGATGAGTCAGTGAAATTGTGCATGTAACTCAGTGGGACTGCAGAAGCTAGTTCCGTGGCCATAGATAGGATATTGATGCTTCTCAAGATGCTGAAATAAAACTGCAATTAGGCAAAAATGTGGATAGTGTTAGTGTGTATAATGATAGTCACTTGTATACTGATTTTACATTGTAAGAAACTGAAACAGTTTCTGTTATTTGCTTGTTTCTAAAGGTGTTCTCTTCACTTATTCTTTGTTCCTGCAATTTTCATCCTGAGTATCTCATTATTTAGGTGTAACCATGTATTCTTTACATAAACTTTATTCAAAATATGTAGTTTCAGGGTGTTTTAGTACAAAAGTAAATGGACTGTCTGCAAAATAGGTTATTACAATATGAAAACTATTCTGTTAACAGATTGGAATCATTGGTGGTACGGGACTGGATGACCCTAACATTTTAGAGAACCGCAAAGAAACACCTGTTACAACACCATTTGGGAGTCCATCTGATGTGCTGCTTGAGGGGAAAATTGATGGAATTGATTGTGTTCTGTTGGCAAGGTAAACAAACCTTAATTTGCTTGGCATGAAACAGAGTTAATATCCAGTAGAAAACTTTGGTAATCTCGCTGAATTAATTTCTTGTTTACATGTTTAATAAAGTAAGATTCTGGTGAATTGAGAAATTTTTACACCACCATAAAAATTATATATGAAGTAATGCAAGATTTTATCTGTAACTGATAAAAAGCACAGAACACGTGACTCTCACTCTGGAGTCCAGCCTATGGGTGTTAACTTCGTCTGATGCCAAGATTAAGAATGTTTGTAGCTGTGCCTCCTCCCCAGCTTAGGCGCTGGCACAGCTTCAGGTTCTTATGTTACATTTTAATTAATATTCATATTTTCTTTACCAATGTGAAATGAGTTTTCTGTGGTTTTATTTAACCAAACAAATGCACTTCAGCCTTACTAGTTTCATTGTTCGTACACCCAGAATGTTTGACACCGTGTGAACTTGTAGGTAGATACCAATATTTCAGCCATGAAGATGGAGATAGTATGTTTCTGCAGAATGTTGGTTCCCATGTACATAATTCTAATACCTTTTTTTGCACTATTTATACTTTAAGCTCTTGCCTCTTTGTTTCTTAATAAAAAATTATTTTTCAGTACTTATATACAGGTAACCCTCGATTTACGCCCGGGATGCGTTCCTGGATGAACCGGCGAAAATTGAAACTCTTTTTATAATGTAAATCATTGGGAAGTCAATGACATGCGTTCCCGGCACCCAAACCTTGACGAGTAATATAATATAATGCCCCCACACTCCATTCAAACAATTCACTGATTCTTCCTCCCAGGCTGCGTTGATATTATAATGCCCCTCAAAATGTCGATTGAGCGCCAATAATCCTTTACCGTTTTGTCTGATCTTCCCAAAACTATCAGCATTTCTTTTAAGGTGTTGCGGAGATAATAGGCTTTAAAGGTCGCTATTACACATTGGTCCATTGGTTGCAAAGCTGAAGTGGTGTTAGGAGGCAGGAAAACGACGTTGACATCCAGAGGAGTTCTGACTTCTGCTAGGTTTGTCGGATGGCCAGGGGCATTGTCCAAGAGAAGAAGGGCCTTGGTTAGCAAGTCATTCTCATGACAAAAACAGAGCACAGTTGGGCAAAAATAGTTGATGTACCAATCCAAGAAGACTTGTTGTGTCACCCAAGCCATTCTATTTGACTTCCAGTAGACTGGCAACCTGGCTTTGTTGAGGCCTTTGAAAGTGTGAGGTGTCTCTGAATGGTACACCAACATTGGCTTTAATTTTAAAGTGCCAGAGACAATGGCACCCATCAAAAGCGTTGCCCTGTGTTTTGCAGCCATGAAACCTGACGCATACTTCTCGTCATGGATGATGAAAGTTTGTGAAGGCAGTTTCTTCCAATACAGGCCTGTCTCATCAACATTAAAAATAAGATGAGGAGGATAATCACCCGCCTCCACAATGGCCTGAAACTCTGCAGGATACGCTGCAGCTGCCTCTGCATCTGCACTTAATGCTTCGCCACTTATTTTCACACTGCGACATTTAGTGCAAAATTTGAATTGCATAAACCAGCCCTTGCTTCCTAAGAATGTCTCTTTGCTATAGTCTTTTATCTTAAGTTCCTCAAAAATTGACTTCGCCTCATCCGTGATAGCAATTTGAGCCAAGGGAATGTTTTTTTGATTCATGTCATCCACCCACAGCGACAGTAATTTCTCCTATATATTTATTTTCACAGTCTATACACAAACGTTGTAATTAAATGATGTTGTTAAAATTATATAATATTAAAACATTATGTAGTATAAAATATTATATTTCTTGGGTTTCCCAGGCATGGGCGCAAGCATACCATCAGTCCAAGCAATGTTAATTACAGAGCTAACATCTGGGCCCTGAAGGAAGCAGGATGCACTCATGTCCTTGCATCAACAGCATGTGGTTCTCTTCAAGAGGAAATAAAACCTGGGGACCTTGTCCTAATACGCTCATTTATAGACAGGTAAGTTTGCTTACATATTAACTAGTCAAACAGATAGGTCATTTTGGTCTAAAAGTTGTCTTAGAAGGTCACATTAGCTGATGTATTTATTGTGCCTAAGACTGCAAAACTAATAAAGAGAGAGAGAAATGAATTTGACATGAAATTATTGGAATGGCATGACCAGAGATGTGTTAATGAACTTGTTGCTACAAGGTCTTTTATCAAAAGTCAGATAACGAGAACTGTTTGTCTAAGAAGAAATGAACTTGTGGGTGGCAAAGTTAAAATATTTAGCTCTACAGAGGTTTTGTGCTATACTTCATATTTATTCTGTTTAAACTCTAATTAGGAACTTGCGCCCACTTTTCAGGACAACGGCTCGTATTCAGACATTTTACGATGGTACTCAGAATGCACTGCCTGGTGTGTGTCACATTCCCGTGGAGCCAGCGTATTGTCCCTCTACCACAGAAGTTGTAGCAGAATCAGCAAAATCTCTGAAGCTGAAGATTCACCCGGTAGTGACATGCGTCACCATAGAAGGACCGCGGTTTTCCTCACTTGCAGAGAGTAAATTGTATCGCTTGTGGGGAGCAGACATTGTAAACATGACCAGTGTGCCTGAGGTAATGCAGTCAGATGTCATCATCAGGGAAAGGAAGATGTTGTATCAAATTCTCTGCGTGCGCTTAACAAATACACGTGGCAGCTGCCCTCCATATTTGTGCTTGCTCAGTTAAATTTGGTATGGGAGCATTTCATTGGAGATCATCTTGTAGCTTTCAGCTCCCCGTCATTATCAACGTAACAGCATCCTGGCAAATTTCTGAGGTGGAAACAACACTAGCATCATTCATTGAAGGGTCTTGACATTTTGTGTGGTTGAAAATTTTTCCTTTTATTAAAGTAATGTGCAAATTAGATTCTTTATTTCAGGTTGTGTTGGCGAAAGAAGCTGGACTCTGCTATGCAGCGATTGGGTTGGTAACGGATTATGACTGTTGGAGAGACACAGGAAATAAAGTGTGTGTAGATGAAGTTATGCGTAACTTCAAATCCAATGTGCAGAGATTGATTGCATTGCTGAAATATATTATTCCTGTTATTGCAAATGAAGACTGGGATAAAGTAATTGATTCTGCCAAGGTAAGTCGGATGGATCCTCTGGCAAATACACTGTAAAGGAAAAGTCACAGTTTTATTGTTCCACGCATATTTTAATATAAATTTATGAAAGAAGTGAGGCAAATACACAAGCGACTGTGGTATTATATCAGTACTCCATGAATGCATAAGTTTTTAGGTGCACCACAGTTGCCAGATATCATTTAGTGTGAAGTGTGGCATTGTGTTGACGAAACTTTTGTAAACATCTATCAGATTACACAGTGCAACAACCCAGAAGACAGCCATCACAAGAACCCAAAATCTCTCTTACCTAATAAAATATTTTTTTGAAGGTGAGTCTTGTTACAGTTGTATAATTGTGATTGCAGAGAATTCTCCTGCCATTACATTTTTGTTTTTGTTTGTGTTACTTTCAGGAATGTGCTGCAAGGAGTGTAATGCTTCCGTCATAAATTGGCTTCTTGTCACATGAACGCTGCTGTAGTTCCAATCCAAGATGTTTTATATTAATAAAGAAGTTTGAACCCTCATTGCAGCTCGTTGTTTCTGGAGGTATGTTGTACCTTTTGCGGTCCAAATAACTGTTGGCCATTGGCTGAGCTGGGCGTTACATTAATATGTAACATAAATGCTGGCCTTCGTGGTCTATCTCAGTCACGTGGTATGGTCTACTCTGTTATCCTGCGGTCGATTTTAAAAGTAATAAATTCGCCCGTATTAACGTGAACAGACACATGACGGCAAACGATTAACTAGTTGAGACCTGAAGTACACTGGCTGCATTCTATTTCTCTTGAAGCTCACATAGTACAGAACCTTTACTGCTAAAAATATTCAATACAATTTTTTGCAGACGTTTATAATCCCTCACTCTATCAATTCCAGAAGTCTGTGTTTCTGCATTTCTAGTCACATATTAAAAAAAATCATCAAATATCAGGTTCCTACTACAAATGGTGTTAGTTTTATTTCAGTGGCGTGTCTTTTCTAAGTTTCATGAATCTCAGCTTTCATGGTTTAGAAGCTGTTTGGGATGAGAGGAGACACATACAGGCAGTACACACTGCTCTAGAATTGTTGCTAAACTGGTTTTATTTTTATAAAATGCTACAGAATCTCACCCTTAACCTTCATTGTGACAAATTTCCCATGCCTTACATAGAAATCATCAAGAGGACAGAGAAAATTACCCTCTGGCCACGTTGAACCCACTGAGTGGGCCCCAGAATTTGCTTGGATGTGAAGAATTAACTTCATGTCCTGCTAAGAATCAAATCTGGTTGTCCAGCCTGTGGTGAATTACTCTATTGACTAGCTAGCCAGAAACATTTCTTGGACACGTAAAAGGACTGGTTAACTATAGTATCTTTCAGCGGAATTGGCGGCTGAGTCGAGTTCTGCTCTTTGTGAGTGACCAATCAGTGCAAAGAAGGTCTGTTGGTAAGCAGCTAGACCTTAGTCTGATCAGAAACCGTGTGATGGAAGCATCAGCTGCCACGCTGCACTGTTGGCAGTGCTCACGTCTTCTTTACGTGGTGTCGTAAACATTCACTGGAAACCAATGTTCCACGATGCTACATGTCACCACTGTGTGTTGTTTCCTCACTTTGTCGCCCATCCACCTCCCACTACTACTTCCTACTGTGGCACGGTACATGTGATTGGTGCACGTTTCAGCTTCCAATTCGGCTGAAAACTGTTGTAACTACCTACCTGCCACATAGCATATTTTAAAGTGCTCGTCCTGAATTTGTCCAACTGAAATAAACCCTAGAAAATCCAACAAAGGAGGTTTGTTGTGTTGCTGCTGTTGTCATCAAACCCCAAGATGTAGTTTTAATTTTTAGCCGGAAAATCTAAGAAAGGAGGTTTGTTGTGTTGCTGCTATTGTCATCAAACCCCCAAGATGTAGTTTTAATTTTTAGCCATTTCTAATTAAAATTTGTGTCTAGACTGTCATTGCCATAGTCAACTTTCGTCAAGGATTGACACTTGATCCACCTTTTCTGTATGTCTTTCTAGACCTTTGTTCCTCATTAACTTGTATCTTTAAGTGAACCACATCAGACCATCCTCAATACATCATTCCAGCCTCCATTACTTCTATTCATATAGACATTTAACCCGTGCGAGCACGCAACCTGTGTAGTGGGCATGGAGTATATTCCATGTATTACTGAACTTCGGCAGCACATCGAGGTGCTCAGTGAGCATCACACTTCAATGGTTTGAATTCTTCAGGATGCCCATTGCGGCTAGAAGACTTGGTGATCCCCAGCTGTCATATTGGAAGATGGTACATGACTGAGGGATCAAGCACAAGACATGTTAATCTTTCAACACATATATTACAAAGGATCTTCATCTGGGTGAGCAAGTATCTATAGTGTGTACCGTAAATGTTTGTTTAAAATAGTAGCTGGGACTCATTGTAGTTTGGTGAAAGTTTCTAGTGCTGTTCTTTCTGATGGTACCACAGGCCAGTTTTATAAATTGTCATGTTTTCCCATTTTTTGCTAAAAAAAAATTTGTACATAAATGTATAAAGGTTAAGGCACAAGTTGCTTCTGTGTCCACGCACCTGTTAGTCAGAAACATGTTTAGGACTCTGATACTACATAGGGGTTATGGTCACATTCATGCTCCAGCCCCATTACTCCTCACGGAAAGAGCCCGTGATCACAGTGCTCGCTGGATGAGCACCGTAGCCAGTTTATGCTGGTGGAGAGTAACCTGGATCTTCCAAAAGTACTGCTTGAACATAAGTTACACATTATTCACAGTCATGGGTAGGAAAATTCAAAGAGTAAATCTTAACACTGCACTTATTTATTTTCTTACGCTTTGTGATTTTACACAACATGGCATGGAATGTTATATACAAGTAAAACATTTTATAAGCTTCATGTACTTTCAGATAACCAGGTAAATCTGCTTCTACAGTTCTCTTGTGCTTTACATACACTTGAATTTCATATACAGAACATAATTTACACAGCTTAGAGCAATATTATACTTCACTACACAGAGGTCAACTTGAGTGTTTATTATTCAGGATCATTTATGAAAGTGTGTAATAGTGAATGCGGAAAAAAAAAACTCTGCTGTATACATAATCTTCCATTAAATGGAAGGCACATGATTTACGCCACACAAAATTATCTACATCATTTACAGTAATAATAATAATAATAGACGAACCATTACCCCTACAGAACTACAAAGAAACCAATTCCAAAAGGTCTAACAAGTACAACATCAGAAAGAAAGGAGCCAAATATTCAGAATAAAAAATAAACATTTCATAAAGATTCTTCCCTAAATTTTTATTTGGTGCTATTTTCTGACAATAAATGAGAAATGGGTAAAGAATACAAAAGTGAGGACCACCACAAGGGAATACTGTTAAGAGTGTACAACACCTCTGTACATGTGACACTACCAGAAACACAAAAACAGATTTTTATTTTTGCAGATAGACAATAGTTAACACCACTTGGAATGTTACATAGGTACTTTACTTTTACTGTCCAGTATCAACACAAAAGGAAGAAAAGAATAAAGTAGAAATGCTTTTCTTTGTGACAGTTCAAACAATATCAACTAGGAGAAGAGGGTTGTACAGCGACATTTCTTACTGCTGCCAAAATCACCCAAGAGTCACTGTTAATCCGACGCCCAACCCTTGTCTACATAACACGCTATCGTCTGCATTCCAGCAGTACTGCGCGACTCTTCAGCAGCTGCTACGAGATGATGCATTTACATCTTGGTGTCCATCATGTCCACATTGATCTTATAGTAAACGTACGGGAAGTATTCCGACTGGCCGAAACCTAACCCTGGAATGTCAACACTCTGCAACAACAAAAGAGTAAGTATCAGTCTAATCCTGGAGAAGTTCCGGAATGAGTTTCCATCTCAACTTACATACAATCTACGCTGCCTCTGATGTAAAATAGTTGGCAGGCAGGTTAGCTATATAACAAAATCTGAGGAAGACTGTGGATGGTGAATTTATTTTATTAACGATGCTACTCATAGCATAAAATTACAGGATTATTAATGAACTGAGGATGAGGAAGGGACCAGTTATGGCCTAGTTTAAGTCATTAGCTTGACGTATTCCAGTATGGTCAGCTAACAGAATCAAACCATTATGTCCTGAAAAAAGGCAGGAGTGCTCAAGTGCCATGGCTGGTACTTGGCTTGTGGAAATACTAATGCATAGGAACTAATACTGACAGCCATTTTTTTAATGCTGGGAAAAGAATGAGAAGACACTATTAATTAAAGTATAGTTAAGTAGGTAATGGATCACATTTTTGGCTTTGGTTTCAACAGTATTAAATCTCTGAATTCTGTTGCTGGCAATACTTACATCATGAGAAGCTGAGCCCTGAACTGCACTACTGTCCAAATGACCATAAAGCTGGTTTAAAACATCTCTAAGTCTCTTTGTATTCTTCTTGTTTGGATGTAACAGCATGGCTTGGAAGTTGACAGGTAATCCATACCTATCACCGCCAGAAAAAAATCACCATTTGTCGCATTTTATACATCAGAAGTTCAGTAAATTTTAGAATAATCACTACAAAATATATAGTTCAACTAACCTAAGAACTGATTCCACAAACACTCTTAGGGCTTTTACATGAACCCAAGCACAGAAACATTCGCTGAAGTTCACTTTCAGCCACCTTACCAGGGGACCCTGTAAACAAGTAGTCGCATTTAATTCATCTTTCTCATAGACCATACTCCTCACATTTCAACAGTCTTCTTGTTTCAATAACGTTAAATGTTCAACCCAATCTAATGCTGCCGAGACTTATGACGGCGGCATTGTGCGTAATAGTTACAACAGTCGTCAACTAATATATAACTTACAAACTGTTTTTTCTTGTCTGTCACAAGTTTTGTAATTTCATTCTTGCCAGCAGCTAGTTCTTCTTCATTATATGTGAAATCACGAACAACAAACCTACAAAATAAAATTTACTTTAAATTCTGATACAATGTCCACATATGAAGCATCGTCACCTGACATATTTTGCGACTGACTTACTTTTTTTCTCGTGCATGAAGCTTAAACTCATCTACCACCTTCTTAAACAGTGTGACAGTAAAGAGACCGTAGTCAGAATCTTGACTGACCAGCTGACTTGAGCGAGGGACAATCATGTCTGTCAGTTTCTCGTATCCTTGGTGCCAGTCAGTAAAGGATGCTCTTCAAAACAAAGGAACATTGTCATTGAATTTGGTATAACCATGAAACTAGTTAGGGTAATTAAAATGTGTTTAAATTAAACCCATACAGGAAAACAATTGTCTCATATATTTCCTATTCAGCACGGTATGAAACAAGGAAATGCTTCATCACCATTGCTCTATGATCTACGATCAGGAAGGTCCAAGAAAACAAAAGAGGACTGGAAATGAATGGGACACGTCAGCATCAAGTCTGTGCTCTTCATGTTAATTTACTGGGCAAAAACATAAATATCACGCAGAAAAACAAATCATATTAGAAGCTGGTATAGAAGTGAACACAGAGAAAGTACATGTTCATTTCTAGTTACTGAACTACGCAACGGAAAAGTTCAAACATGGGAATGACAGTAACAAATCTAAACTTCATTCAAGAGGAAATTAAGAGTAAGCTAATTTTGGGGAATGCTTTAGAAACTTTCATCTTTCTGCCTGCTATCTAAAATTGTAAAGACAGTACACAAAATTATAATGTTACTGGTTGTTTTGTATGGGTGTGAAACTTGGCTTCCTGTGGTAAGGGAAGAACACAGATTGAGGGTGTTTGAAAAAAGTGTTTCTGAGAATATTTGAACCTAAAAGGGATGAAGTGACAGGAGGGAAGAGAAAACTGCAGAATGAGGAGTTCAATAATTTGTACTCTTCACTAAATATTACAAAAAGTGTTTCTGAGAATATTTGAACCTAAAAGGGATGAAGTGACAGGAGGGAAGAGAAAACTGCAGAATGAGGAGTTCAATAATTTGTACTCTTCACTAAATATTACCAGGATGTTGAAACCAGGGAGATGAGAAATACGTACATTTTGGTTGGAAAACCTGAAGGGAAGAGGCCGCTCAGAACACTTGGGAGGATAATATTAAAATGTATCTTGGGGAAATAGGATGGGAGGGTGTGGACTGGATTCATCTGGCTCAGAACAGGGACTGGGCTCCTGTTATTCCTTATTTTAAACCCAAATGATTTTCCTCAGCATGGAGTCAATACTATCTACTTCCTGTTTTTTTGCTGTATGATACGCAATTAAAACTTACTTTGGCACAATGACCAGCAGAGTGGTGAGGTATTCAGAGTCCAAAATGAAGTGCTCCTTCTTTACAAGATCAGCAAGATTTCGTGTAAGTAGACTGCCTCTGTAAACAAGTAACGGGGAACACTGAAGAAATTCTTAGTATATAGGCTGAGAGGATGATTGCATGTGAAGAACTGCAAAGTGGGAGACCAATATGAAGATGGGAACAACAGGTTGCGAATGATGTCACATACAGGAAAGGAAGAAAATGAGGAGGAGTTGTAGGACAACAGATGAACAGGCTCAACTGTCACATGACCCACATCAAGTGGAAGCATCTTATGAAGAAGTATTCATGGCTTATTTAAAGATATTATATGAAAAACTAAATATGGGCCTTAATTATAACTAACGTTTGTTTCTTTTCCAAATTCTGAAGGTTGCCCTTCAAGTTGTTGTATGCTGTTGATTTTGTTTTGAGGTCAGCATCAATCTGTGCAACCTGCTTGCTTATAATATCTGCAATATTTCGCAATGACTGTTTGATGGGATATTTTGCCATATCCCACTGGAATCGTGTGATGTACGCTGGTAAGTCACCTGCAGGCAATAATAAAATTATATTTAGTAACCAATACATTTAGCATTTTGACATTTTATGACAAATACAATTGCAGATTCACTCTTATTTGTGTGACTTACTATTGTTTGCAAGAAGATTCTCATGGAGTTTATCCCTCTGATCTTCCAAGACCTCTCCCAAGTAAACTGCTACTTTTTTAGTAACTTGCTCTACAAAGTTATCAAGCTTTCCCAAGTCATCAGATAATCCAACAAGTTGATCAAGTGTTCCAACCTGTTTTTAAAACATAATGCGATAAAACTGTTCTTTAGCAGATGGATTAATGTTGTAGCACCCTTTCATTACATATTTATTGAAGAGGATCAGAGTTCCTTAGTTTGAAGGCAGGACAGATAATGAGCAATGACTACCCTTCAGACAAATCAATGGGCATATTTTCAGTTATCTGTACTATTATTAAACATAGTTCTGACATAGGGCATTGGTCATGCCTTTTTATTTTTTCCATGAGACATAATTTACTATTGTTAGGGTGATCAGATCCTATATAAGATGGGCAGGTACATGGACCAAGCACAGGGAAATAAACATGTACATAGTTTTTGTTGGTGTGTTACTTTTGAAACCTGGGAATATCTGAGATGATGTTACCATCCTAGAAAACAGGTTGTGAAAATATGAAGAATTTTGTAGTTCAATAAAAACTGGGAACTCCTCACCTAGTACAATTAAGTTATTTAATGTTATAATTCTGTTACATGCAAGGGACAAAACCTGGCCACAATATAATGAGGCTGATTCTGTAACTACAAAATGAGAATATCATATAACTTGGATCCGTTTGTCACTGGCACAAGAAAATCCTTATAAAGTCCCTTTCCTTCACATTACTGAAAATGAGAAATTTATTAATGTCATTAACAACTTACCTTCAAATCTGGAATATGGAACTTATAGTTGGCTGATAGATTGTTCTGTTTGCTTGTTACATTATTCATCGTTTCCCAGGTCTGCTGGCAAGTCTTATCACCTGGGGCTGATATTAACCAGTATTCAGTCATTTTTTTCCACTACCTATATGCAAATATTACAATCAGTAAATTCAAGTGATCATAAAAATATGGGAAGTTTTTTGTATTTAAAATACTTGACCTTGCCAAGATTGTACATGACCACCACTATAATACATATGATTTTCTAATGCTTGAAAAGCATTACTCTTTCCAATAAGAAAACAGTTTATTTTTTCCCAAATTCACAGTATTCAACTCCAATTTAAATTTCTGTTCGATTTTCATAGTGGTACTCAAAAGTGATGCATTTAGGAATTGAGTTATTTCTGGCCTCTGCAGAAAAATGCTTGGTCTGAAACTACAAATCTGTAATTAGATAACTTATATGATTTTTCATATCTGATAACTGAAACTTGTCATGGTAATATCGAAGCAAGACTTCAAGAGTGAAAAAGTAGGTTATTTGGACTTCAATAATTTCAGCTAGTTAGTGGCTTGCTTTCAAGCACACATTATTCAGCAACACATTTGTAATGTAAATTCGTGTACTTACAATCCAGAACCAAGTAATCGATATTATAAGCTCTTATAAGTCCTCCAAAATACAGACAATTTGTTAACCAAAGGAGACCATAATTATTCACGTGACTCTGCAGTGACATCTACAGAGCAAGTGTGGTTTTAATCAGAACTTGACAATCGACATGGAGGGAAATATTTGGTCCAGCAGTTTTTCCCGTTTTAGGTACTTTGTTGTATTGAAATGTAGACAGCAGGTTATTGTGTATGGAAATTGTTTCTGGTCGAAAAGTTCGCACAAATTTCATATGCGCTGTACGCTTTTGTTTGTAGTAATCTGCGTATTTAGGTATTACTGACTCGACGATCGGGGTTTGATTCCTAGCAGGGCTAGGTGCAGGGATTTTTGCCTGCGTCACTGCCTGGCGAACAACACAACAGCCAGCCAGCCATCGTTATGCTCCTTGCTGCTGTGCCGGAAGCTTTGAAACGAAATATTGTGTCGTAGTTGTCTATGAACACTGGTAATACGTGTGTCGTAATATGGCGGAAATTGTAATGGCGTTTGGAAGTGTAATTTAGGAGTAATTTTCATTTTTACTGTAATCATTGTGTTCCAAGGTCCTTTAAGTGATTTTGAATTATGGCCGAATTCAGTGATAAAGAAACATTAGAAAGTTGGGTGAACAGTAAACTGTCAGCAATATTAGACTTCCCAGTGCCGCAGGATTTGACAAAGTTAGTTGCTGTGTGTATGATCTGAAGCTTTCATGGTCCTGAGGACGATGATGGTTTTCGAAATGTTGGTGTTTTCTCCATTAAACCACCTGACATGGCTGGTAGCCCGAGAATAATTCATTATAAGTTGCTCTATAGATTGCGACTGTAATGTTGAGACTTGTGGGTGAGGAAGTGGGATGAACGAGGAAAGATAGTGTAAGTCTTTAACGCTTCGGACTTCCTGCATTCCTTTTAAGTCTCAAGATTACAGTTGCTAACAGTACCTTTTCCCACATTCATAAAAAATATGGTACATTTTTGTCTTCCTATTTACTGAAAGTTTGGGTCCTTGCAACAGATTAGGACAGTAACACACCTTCACCTGATCCAATGATTTGTGGTATGAAAGCATAATTAAATAGCTTCTTGTAACATTTTTATAGAGTACATGCATTTCCTAACACGGATTCTTAATACTAAGACTTTCAGGAACCAAACTTTGTAACAGAACTTTTTTTAAATTTCTTGTTATAGATATATATTGTCAATAGAAAATGCTAGAGACCTTGAAGACTACCTCAAAACCCTTCTCAACTTTAGTAGTGCTCATCATCGGCAGTTTTATGAGGAATTGCTACAGAAACGCCAAGTAGGTAAGTGGAGCTTAAATTAAGTTAAACTTATATTTTACTTAAAACTGTTGATGAAGGTGCAAGTACAGGAAAGGCATTTGGTGATCACACTAGAGCACAGGCTTTCTGCCATGTGAACACTGCATTCATTGCTGCCTTTGCTAGTTTGTCAGCTACTGTGATAGAGTGGTTTCCTTATTTACATTACAGAGGGTGTTAAAAATGTTTTCCATTTGGCTTGGTCACATTTCTTAAACAAACTAAGGAAGTATAGAACTCTTCAAGATGATTGATTTCTCAGACTTATTGTGTGTGGGGGAATTAGCTTAATAGAATTTAGTTCTGAAATGTATGTACTGACTGAAGACAGCAGTAACATTGTCTCTGCAGTGAATGTACAGCAGGTGTTCCTGATAGTAGTTTTGCATCGGTGTTCACAGTCACTTTTGATACTAAAGTTTCTTGTGCCGTTTTAATAGAGTTACAAAGCAACTGATCAAACCAAGCTCCAGTTTTATTTGTGTCAAACTGTTACAGAAGTCTCCTACCAGACCATATTAGAAGCCAGTTTAGCCAAGTTTCTCTCTTGATGGTCTGTTTCTTCAATATTTATTTTTATTATTATTGCACCAGCAAACTCTGTATATCCCAAATGGTCTTGTTTTTGTGAGTTTACATATTCATTTTTTCTTCATGTTACACACCTTGTCCATTTCATCGTAATGAGATTGGAAAGGAAAATAATTAACACCTCATTGTATATCTTTCTCCATCCTTTTTCCTCAGGTGCAGGTATCATTTTCATCCAGAGAATAAGAACATTTGTTAGTAAAGTGTGTTGATTTGTCTTGTGGGTTTTGTTGTTGGATAACTGAAAGGGTTAGAAGATGTTGATGCTTATACATGTTGCAGGATTTACTGGGTTGCCACTGGACATCCAAGGCTACAAGAAGTCTGAGACAGAACAGATTTATGTTCATCCTAAACAGACAGAAAAGAAGAAGAAGTCTAAAGGCCAGTTTGAAGACACCTCACAGAAGGAAAATGTAAAGGTACAATTGTCCGGTGTTTAACAATTTTAAATTCATGTTACAGGATTGTAGGGTGGACCTCTCGCAATCATATTTCATCCTCATTGTTCTGTAGTTTTGGAAATGAAACATCCGTACTGACATATACAATTTGTCCATTATGTGTTCATTTTTTGGACTCTGTAAAGAATGCATAATATAATGTTTAAAATTAATAATAAACATGAAATGTGAATCTAATGGAATCTTTAACAAAATGCAAGACAGTGAACATAACATCCAGTGTATGAATATGGATGATTCAGCTGTTTGTAATTTGGGTGACATTTCAGGTTCTCGTGGTGACAAATATGAAGACCACTGTCTTCTGGGACTTTGTGTGTGTAGTCTGCTACAAACTGACCAACATTTCAGAGGTGCTAACTGTATCATCAAGGTAATGATGAGGCAGTAAGCACCTCTGAAATGTTGGTCAGTTTGTAGCAGACTACACACACAAAGTCCCGGAAGACAGTGGTCTTCATTTATAATTTTGTTTGTACAGGAACCTCAAGGCAAAAAGAAATCCAAGTTTGTTAACCTTTACTCTTCAGATGGCCAGGCCAGAGATGTTGTTATCCTGAAAGGTCAGTAGCAGGATCTTCACACATTCAGTGGAATTTGTGTGCATTATTTAGTTTATAATTGCTGGCTGTTTTATTTGGTACACATTTAGTTTCTTTACCATTGTGAGTGTTTGTAGCAGCAGGCAGTACTGTTAGAGAGATTTGTAACTTTAACAACTATTTCACAGCCTTACCACATCCATTTCCTTCCAGATTGTTACCCACCTGCATGCCATTTGTGATCATGTTCCCACCTCATTCTGAACCATGTAACGTGAAAGATCAATCACTCAGACCGTAACAAGTAGCAGAACTTCTTTATGTGCTAGAATTCTTGTGTTTGAGACTCAGCTGAGAGTCTTGAAACGGGCCACATCCAGTATCACGAGCATTAGCCACATACTAAATCGGGAAACTGTTCTTTCAGGCCGTCATCGTTGTGATTGTCAGGCTAGCAAGCATAGACTGGTGAGTAACTGTCTCAAGTGCGGCCGTATCGTATGCGAACAGGAGGGTTCCGGTCCGTGCCTCTTCTGTGGTAATCTGGTAAGACTATTTTGTGTTCCACAAGTCAGACTGGAGTGACTCATGATCTAACTGGTCAGTTAGTGTGAGTGCATAATTCATTAGTTTTGTGGCAAACAGGTGTTAGACCTCTCTGTTCTGTGGTTGCAGGAAGTGTTATGTTGGTACAGTGTTTAGTTTATTTCTAAAAAAGTTAGTTTCTGAATTGCTAGAACAGAATCAGCATTCAATTTCTATTAAAGCTGTTTAGAAATGACGGGAATTCACTAAAATGTTACAGCATGTTTATTGGGGGGGGGGGGGGGGGGGGGAAAAAAGAAGTATGTGGTTTTATTTGCGGATTGGGTGATTTTGAGATGGAGGGGAAGGCATTTCATGCAGTGAAAGATCCATCTGACCACTTCAGGCACTGATCCAAATGTGAGTGAGTGTGTGAGATCTTGAGAAATTAACATTGACAGAATATTCAGAAGAACTACACATGAATATGGGTATTGACATTGATTTTGACAAGACATCTGAATGTGAAAGTCTGTGCCAGAATAGTACTATATAGTCTCAGCAGTGAGAAAATATTGAAGAGAAAACAAATTTGCTCAGAATATTCAGCAAGACTAGAGGATTATATCCATTTGAAAAAATTGTGGTTGGTAATGATGTATCATCTGGTATCACCTAAGAATAAAATGCTGAAGTTTTCAGTGGAAAAGTTGATAATCTCTGAGACAAGGAATGGCAGAATCAGAATTCAAAATTGCTCTGGTTCTTCTTGGTTTTTTTTTTTTCTGAGCAAATTTGCTTTGAGAATTGTTCTTCCAAAATATATTGTCAACTAAATATTCTACCTTGTAGTGTCAGAATATTTATATAGCAGACCGTTTGTAGAAAAGGACCAACCTTTGACTGCACAATTTGATTTTGATTTTGTGCCGTGACATTCCTCCTCAAATATTAATTTTGGTATTATGTGTTCCCATATGACTTTTCATGTTCTTGGTACTAGAAATTACCTTTAAAGAGACCGAGAACATTCAGAATACTCGTTCCAGTCATGACAGAGACGCTTGGTCAAGTATGTAGGGTCAGAAGGTGAATTCTCTGAGGATGATTACACTTACTAAAGGTAATTGGTTGTCTTTCTTTTGATGGTGAGGTCTGGGGTCAGTCTGGTCGATAGTCCGACATGGGACTACCTAACAGAAGTGCTGACCACTCAACCATCATGTTTGTAAAGGGCTTTAAGAATTAAAAGAACTGACGACATAATTGTCATATTTTGTGGCAACAGTGATTGTAGGGCAAGTTACAGTGAAGTTCTTCACAGTTTTATCAGCGTACGTGTAGTTATTTAACTTGTCTCATCATGTTGAGTGACAGATATACCTTAATGTGTGCTTTTCATATATTGTACTGGGGATGGTTATATTAAAGTGGGTCCCAGGACAATTGGCTTCAGACTGGTTTGGATTGAGCCAGTTCCAGATATCACCAGATGTTGCCTCAGATTCTACATTTTCATGTGCGCAGGTTTGTTCCCGAGAAGAGGAGCTGTTGTTGGCTTCAGGCTCGAAGAGAGCCGAACATCTGTTGCAGAAACTTGTAGAGCAAAAGAAACCTGAAGGTTTGGAATCTGCAATCCAGCATAGAAACAAGCTGCTGGAGTATGACAAAACGAGGCAAGTCATCGAACATGAATTAACACTGAGTGAACCTGTGAGATTTTGTGCATATTTACGGGAGTTTGAATGATCAGTTTTATCTGAACATTCCAGTAGTTTATGGCTTTAGTTTACGCAGGTTGACTGTTAAGTGGGTCCTGTGGCACACCTCAAAATTTCAGATGGAGGAGACAGCCTCCAGATATAAAACTTTCCTAATGACTAGGATCATGTTTCATAGACAAAAGCTGTAACTCATTTTTGAGGCTGGAGGTAGTGTTTCAGTTATACAGCCTTGGAGGGGAAAAAAACTCAGTCAAATCATTTATGACACACGCGCCTTTATTCTGGATGCCTTTTCACACAAGGACATTAATACTTGATGGAATTTTGTGCATATTTGTGCCATATATTGTGAGTCATTTGTTCATTTGACATGGAATGACCGTTTGATTATTTAAAGACTTCATCTGCAGCAGTTGCACAGCAAATCAGATTAAAGGTGATAGGAGTGGTAATAGGCAGGGATGTGGCAGGAGATGATGATGGCACGTATGAGGTATTGTCTCAGCATGCATTTGCTTAAAAAGGTAACTGGTTTCACAGCCAAGATTTAAACTTGAGTTTGATATACAGCTCTGCCACACAGCATGCAGAGCGAATTGTGTCATACTTATCAGGGGGGAAACGGAATGAGCGCACAACACTTATGTATAGCCAGCAAAGAAGATTAATCCCATGTAGGCCTGTACTGTTAAGACAATATGTTAACCCGTGGTGTTCCAGTGTAAGAGATAATCATAACAAAATAAAATAAGGTAAAGTTTTTGTTGTTTCCCTGCAGTGAGCGGCGCACGAAGGTGATCGATGATGAGAGTGACTACTTCCCTGTGAACTCCATTTGGCTGTCTAAAGCAGAGCGGGAGAAACTGCAACAACAAGAAGAGGAGCTTCAGGCAAGGCACCATTTGTCTCGTCTCGACAGGAGACTCACCCTAGACTTTGCAGGTTCTCTGTCAGCTTTGTATTGTTTTTGCATGCTCGCACATACACTTATGCTTTTTTTTTATAACCTTGCATACCGTGCACTGTATTAGTTTATAAAATCATGCATACAAACAAAAATTGTTTAAACTTCAAAAAGACACTTGGTGCCAAACGCATTTCGACCTCAAGAGGTCATTATCGGTAGCAAACAAATTAATTCATATTAAATCATACAAAGGAAAAGTAGACTGTCAGCGTAACTGTAATTAATATGGGCAGAGTAAACTGTGTGACCAGCTGAAGTATAAGAAATGTGTCATTACAAGGAAAAATGTCAGTAAAGCTACTTATGCACCACCTTATATTGAAATGGTCTCGTCAGTTGATCGGTTCTGTTGCCATAGATTTTCCTGAGGAGATACAAACATGTTCAGGTATCAGCATGGCATGGCTTGGTGGTGTCATTGTACCCTATAGTGTTTTATCTGCACAGGACGCAAGGTTTTGGAGTGTGATGATCCAGAGTATTTTTACGACCCAGAGGACATTGTGCTGAAGGAAATCAGTGAAAGCATTAAGGAGAATAGAAGGGCTGTGATGAACGGAGGCAGTGTGAACCCAGGAGTCTTGCGCACGCAGCCTATTGTGAGTAGCCTTATGTTCATGGCCACATGTTTGACTGAACTTTACGACTCGACCTTGAGGTTACTGAATTTGACGTGCCATTATCTTCAACAGTGTTGATCATCTTCCTTATATGAGTTCACTCTCTCTTTATTCACATCCTGTCAATATCCTCTTTCCAGCTTCTTGTATAAGATATATTATCAGCAAAATTTGGAAACTCCTCTGTGTTTTATACTCAGTAATTATTTAGCTTGCTAACAAATTCTAATTCTAAGAATTTAAACCTAAGAGAGATGAAGTAATAAAGGATTTCAGTGCATTATGTAATAATTAGGAGCTTCATAATCTGAACTCTTCACCTAAAAGTGCTAGGGTGATTAATTTTTATCATACTGTAATAGGGCATGGACTGCATGAGCTGTGATACGTGCCCAGTGGAAGGTTGAGATAGGCTGCCTATCAAGCATGTGTCTGAGGAGTACATGCAGAATTTTGAACCCAAAAGCCTGAAGGGCAAGGACCACTAGGGAGGCAGTTGCAGATGGGAGATAGTATTAATGTGGGTCATTGAGAAATAGACTGTGAAGTTGTGAAGTAAATTCATCAGGTTCAAAACAGGGCCAAAGTGATGGTCTCAAGTAGCATGTAAAGTATCCGATACTGACTGCAACTTTTATGCAGTTCCAGGAGGCAGTAGGAAGGTCCCTGCAGCCCACCTCGCTCAGCCTGCAGGGCACCACAAGTTTTCACAGGCGGGTGCAGGATCGAGAGCTAATCGAGATGCTTGACGAGGGTTGTTGCTTAACCTTGCACCAGCCCTGGGCTTCGCTGTTCGTTGCAGGCATCAAGTTGTAAGTCTTGTTGTATAGTGTAGGTTCTGGCCATAGACTAGCTAGCTGTATTTGGTGTGGGTTTACCTCATAAATTCACCTTCCTTCACCAAAGTCAAAACCAAAATTTTGTGAATCAGAAATATAGCAAGCTACCACCTTGGTTCAGATTCCACATCCCCTTTGCTAGTCATCATTGTGTTTGTGGTTGTTCCCATGTAACATGTATCTATCAGATATGCAGGACCCAGGCATAAAATATAGCAACAAAATGTTGTAAGCTTGCAAAATATGACTGTGATACATCAAGTTTCATCTGTGTTTAGGCACGAGGGCCGCACATGGTACACATCACATCGAGGCCGTCTGTGGATTGCTGCAGCCCTGAAGGTCCCCACTCCTCAAGAGATTCAGACTGCAGAGCATTTATATGAAGTTCTGAAGGGAGGTGAGCCTTCATGAGGGTGTAAAACTCAATCTGTCACTCCTTTATCACAGATCATGAAAATGCTTTTGATCATTCCACAATTCACAGTGGCCATGCGATCTGAGGCGTGGGCCTTCTTCACTTGGACACTAGGACCATGGGTTCAAATCCTACTCAAGGCGTGGATGTTTGTCTGCATTTTTCTGTGTTGTGCTGTCCTGTGTACAGGTAGAGGCCTTGCGACGAGCTGAACGCTCATCCAAGGAGTCCTGCCGGATGTCTTAATAGATTAAGTAACCTCCAAAAGAGGCAGTCATACTGCTTCATAGAGATGCAGATGATGATGTAGGAGAGAAGATGCAGTCAAGTCTTATGCTAAATTTGGTGTTTTTGTTGTACCGACTTCCCATACAGCTGTGGACATATGGTTCATTCTGTGTTACTGTATTTCATCTGTCTTGTACTTTGACGTGCTGAGTGATACAAGTTGAGCAACATATGTTATGAATTTGTTTGCACACCATGGATACAGAGATGAATTACTTGTCGCATGCTGGGCCGGTTGTGAGACTCTTTCTCTGACAGGTGAGAGGTTGCAGTTCCCATTGCAGTACCCCACCAGCTGCCTGCTGGGATGTGTGTATATGGTTGACTGCCTACCCCAAGAGGAGTACCGTGTCAAGTTCCCTGAAGGGGAGAGTGACAGCCCGTTTGTTTTCGTATGTGAAGATGCCCAGAAGTTGCCCATCCGATTTCCAATACAAGGAAAACACAAAATTTGTGAGTTTTATGACATGTCATGATCCACTGTTTTGTTAACATTATGCAAAATACGCATACATATTTTTAGTGAGCTAAGTTGCAAATGAACAGTGGGTCACTTCTAAAGCAGAGAATGTTCTGGTTGTTTGTAATGGAGAAGTTTGGCTATGTTATCCTCTCTCTTTTTTTCTTTCTTATTATTGTGTGCTAGTGGGTAGGTGCTAAATTGCACCCATGTAAATGAAATATGACTTCCGTTTCAGATAAGTTGGACCCAAAAATTCATGCTGCTGCTCGGAAGTCTTTGCAGAGGGTGGCCGAATTGCAAGCTGAATGGGCTACAGTTCACTGAGCGACCAGCAGTGCCCTTATTTGTTGGGCCTTCCACCCCAAATGTGTTTATTATATGCACTTTATATCAGTCAGTATGTGATAAGATCATTATATTAAGCAACTGAACATATTGTTTTACTTGATTGCTCTAGAACTGGATAGGATCCTGCCCTACCACAAATCCATCTCAGATCAGTTACTCTAGTTTCCTGTGACCCAGTTTCATGTTGCCTTCTCACATGATACTTTGTCTCTCAAGTGAACTGTTCCTCAATCATAGACTGTTAAAAGTGTATATGGTTTTCTGAGGCCTGGTACCATATCTGCATCACCTTGTAGTGTACAAATAATCTACAGTTGATTTACTCCTTCGAACAGAGTCCTTGAGAAGCTGATAACACATATAATAAGATAAACCCCTGCTTTTTATGTAACTTGACTTTATTTCCATATTTACAAGCCCACACCACTGAACACTATTCTGAGCCAGATGAATTCAGCCTGCTCTCCATGCTCCATTTTAATGTTATCCTCCCATGTGTGCCTTCATCTCTGAAGGTGATCACTTTCCTTGGGCTTTCTAAATAAAATTTTGTATACATTTTTCATGCTGTGCATGCTGGTTGCCCCATCCATTTCATCCTTGGTTTCATTATTGTAATACTGTTTTGTTAAGTGTACAAATTGTGAAGCTCTTTATGATCTAGTTTACATTCTCCCTCTTAGGTCAAAGTATTTTCTACATTCTCTTCTCAGCAAGACAAGATTATACTTTTGTATAGGTTTAATAGGAGCTTGGAAAATGCAGTACTGTGGTTAAAAGGGGCCCACATAACTTGTTTTCTTACCTCAGTAATTGATTATTGATTCATTTTACATGGACGTAATTTAAACTTTGTGTAGTGCACATTGTATTTTGTTATTTATGTCATACACGATAAACATTTGAGGTTCTTACGGCAGTGAAGTCATAGATTTTGGTCTTCTGGGCTGTGATGTCGTGCAGTCTTTATAGGTGGCTACCATTGTTTCAAAGGAATACGTGATCTCCACCTTGAGGTTTAGGTGTAGCTGTGATTATTTCTGTTGTTGCTTATATTATGAGTAATATAGATAAGATCAATGACTAAACATACCAGCTGTCCAAAAAACATGTATACACATTATAATATGGAATATTTACCATGTTTGCATGTATTTTGGGACATTCGGTATTTAATTCTATTTAGTCCTGGTTTGTACCACATATTCTTGTTACACTGGTCTCACACCAAAAATGTTCTGGTGCTCACCATTATTTGTTTATTCTTTTATTATGCTAATGATCAGATATAAGTTGTGTCAGAATCAGTGTATCACAAGTAACAGTGAAAGAAATTGAATGTATGGTTGTGGTTGAGCTGGAGAAGGCCTGGTGGGCAGCAAGAAATTAAAAACTTATGAAACATTTATTTTCTGGGAATAATATTTTTGGATAAATCTGGAAGTAGAAGGGATGTTAATAATAAATTAAGCTATTAGTGATAAAGTAACAAGATGAATGCAAGTATCTGGGAAACCATCAGAATGTAGTTTAATATGAAGTTGGAAACAGGTGATAAAAAAGATTAAGACAGCACAGCTATCATCCATATTATAGTGTGTTTGGTGGTATTGGTCACATTAAGAAGAAGCATTATAGACTGGGAAGATATAATAAAAGAAAGGTTTTAAGTATCAATGAATTATGATCAGTTCAGAGGTTTATAAGTCATATGAGGAAGATTTTTAAATGTCGCAAGGGTGTAAATTTCAGACCTCAAAGATAGAGAAATGGAGTACAAAAGAAATGATTTGTTTTGGAGTCCAGTGACTGGAACATTTATATAACATGAACCCATATTGTGGTGTTAAGGCATGTAGAATTAAAAATGTGTTGTTTTGGGGGGGAAGGGGGGGAAACAGACAGACAAAGTAAGGTGTTGTAGAAGATTTGGCTTTATTTCCCTTTCTGTGTTCATCTGAATCCATTTAAATTTCCATCATTATTCGTTTGAGGTTATGTGTATTTACTCCACATTGTATCTTGTTTCCAACTTTTATTGTCATTGTATGTATATAATCTACTTTACTGTATTTTTATTATGATATATTGTACATCCTTTGCTTCGGCCTATGAAGGATCTATGTAATGTAAATAAATTTTATTAACGTAATTACATTATCGAAATTGTGAACGCCAGCAATCAGGTCATAACCCTTTATCTTTGCCTACCACTTATCGTGTTTAGGTGGACTTATCAAACTGATAGTTGAAAATCTGTGCAAGTTTTACTGATACAGAGTATTAGAAGTGTTTCTGTGGCAGATCATTAACTTCATTGATGCACTAGAGAAAAAGTTCTCTGTAACGTTCTGATGAGAGATATGGTGCAGTTTCTTTAATTGGAAGACTTTAGTAACGGCTGTAATGGATATAAGAAAACTGAAGATGGTCCTTCATCAGCAACTTTGAAGAAGAGCAGTTGGTGTTGTGTAATAATGACACTCTACTCTATGGCGTAATGACACATTGTTTTCGTATATTTGAAGGGAATAAACATTTTTAAAGTCATAGGTGCAGAGAGAATACACAGTTTTTATCTGAAAATCGTATATAAACAATGAAGCTGTTATATATTACTCTTTCAATTTCTTTGGTTTGTATACCTGGTGAGTTGATACATTTGAGGTTAATGAAACTTTACCACACGCCCCCGCTCACTATTAATTGGCTGTTATAAAACGTATTTGTGATTTTATCTCAAAGATGAGTGGTCCAATTTATATTACTAGAGCAGAGCGCTCCTTTCGGAGCTCCTCGGGGTTCGTCAAGTTTTTAAAACGCAACCAAGGGGATTGGTCAAGTGTTCAAAAAAAGCAACCCACCCAAAACAGTTGACCAACCCCTCCTTCGCAACCAACCCCCACTTCCGGGGGGGGGGTTTCTTTGATGTCATCTTTAGCGTCGCTTTCGAATTCTGACGTACATTTTCGATTATTTGTTTGACGGCTTCTTCTTCGTCGATCATAAATAGTTGACCAAAAGTTGTGTTGTTATACCAACACAACAATACCGAGTAAACAAATAGCGTGGCATTGTTTGATGACGTCATTTATTGACGACAACGAGGTATCACAATTTTTTATAGTAGAAATACAAGTATCATATTTGTGCTATGACGTTCTACGTTCGTGGCTAGGGCCTATGAAGGATGTACGGAATGTAAGTAAATTCTATTTTATTCTGTTCTATCTCGAATATTGGAGTCTTGGATTTTAATATACATATACACAAAACAGAAATTTTTAACCAGATGAATCACGATTGGAATAGTACTTATCTGTTATTGCCAATGTTCTGACCAAAAGTACTACAAGAACTTGAAACATTCATAAATATCTAACATTTTAAGGCCTGAAGCAATTAACATCAAGTTTCAAAATGTGGATAATGATCAGCAGAAAGTAGAAAGACGTGGTTAGGCGTGTGGTCTTCTGGAATGTTATGCACTGTAGCCCTGGAGGTTACCAACATTTTGGAGAAAATGCAGGCCATCTTCAGAGTGTTGAAAATCATAGCCTTAAACTTCACTGTGGAAATCTCAGATCTAATTTAGTTCATTATGTTGTAAAGTATTTCGTTATGTATCTGCCCATTATTCTGTGACTTTGACTTTTTGGACTGAATTGTGTTAAAATATATGTGGGAGATAACTCTTCCAGGTGTTGTTAGATTAATTCTGTTATCTAGGGACTTAATAAATGTTATTAATAATGCAAGATGATTATTTGCCTTTAATTCATAAGACTTATCTCTACACTGAACCTCCACTGCTACTTTTATTTTGGGCTGGGTATAACTGATGCATTTCTTTGCCACTGCCTTACAATATGTGACATTTGATACTTTTCTTCTCCATTTTCACCATAAGGGTGCAAAAGGAGAGTTGTTAAAATTACTGAAAGAGTCAGTTAAAACCCACTGAACAGATGGTGTTAGTAATTATTCCAACTTTGGTTTCTGTAACAGGTGTAAATGTTTCTGCATTTTGATACGTAACCTTCAGATTCCTTGCTCACCATAGTCTAGTCTTTTAAACTGTAGGTGTGCAAGTGCAGTTGTAGTCTGAAAGGTTCAGTTGGTTATGCATATGTAAATAAAGGTGAATCTATTTCATATTTACTTGATATAAACTTGTTGCTTTCAGTGACTGCTGACAGACCATGTGCTCCTCGAGAATTTGGTTCAGGTAACATAGTGTGTGTCTGCAACATGACATACTGTGATACCATAGCCAAGCTTTCTGCAGTGCCAGCAGACCAGTTTGTGCAGTACTCAACCTCACAGTCAGGCTTACGGTTTCACAAGACAGTGGGATCCCTTGTTGACTCTCCTCACTCCACAGGTAACAGACTTGCCATGGGGTCCATCCACTAGTTACCAGACCTTGAATAGGTCACAATATTAACTGACCACTTTCTGGATGTAGTGCCAAGTTCTCCATTCATGCACGTCTTCATAGTGTAGTGTTTAAGCACAGGGACAACTTTGGCTTTCATTCTCATATGGATGGTGAAGCAGAAAAACACCATTTTCCTGGAAACCATACATTTGTTCTGTTCTTTTAGTTCTCAGTATAACTGGGCAGTTTAGACTAGGCCTGTGAATATCATTTCTGAAACCAGTGCTAGGTTGTCACATCCTTGTATGTTTTTGCCTCTGAAGGGATGACATCAGCAAGATGGTGCTCACAAGACATGTTGAAACTGCCTTCGAGGACTTGCATAAGTAAGCAAAGACATGCATTGAGATGTAATTGTAATTGTCTGACTATAGTGATCTTTGTGATAATGTTAATGCAAACCCAGCAACGGGGAGCGAGTATGCCGCAGACAAGTGATCTGGCATTCTAGAAGGAAGGTGCTGGCCTCCCATTCACATGCATTGACCTGCCTTGCCTATTCTAGAATGTACAGAATAACAGGCGGGGTCCCAAAATATGAAGCATCCTCTTTCTTCCTTTGCAGGGCTGAAGAAGACTGTAATTGAGTGCATTTGAATCAAGATACTAGTTTGTTGAATTTGTTTCACGTTACACAGCCCCATTATGGGAATGGTTGTTGACATTGTCTCCTAAGAAGACAGCAAGCCATTCATTCATTCACTTTCTTCCAGGGACTTTTTACAATCTTATATGACTCGCTGTCTGCAGTTGGGGCTACATGTCTCACCTGGCACTGTTGTATGCTCGGCTAAAAAAAAAATTGCATTTCCTATTCTTTTTTTTTTGCCCCCCAGGAATTCGTTTTACAGTAAATCTGACAGCAACATACCAGAGGATTCTGGGTTTTGGAGGTGCTTTTACGGATGCTGCTGGAATAAATATAGATTCCTTAGCTTTACAAGTAAAACAGAATCTTATGAGGTAAGAGAATTGGTGGGCATGCATACCACGCATCAAAATAATAAAGTTCATTGAATCAGAATGTTTTAATATGGTTCCATCAGTGCTATAAAGTCTGAACTACAGACAGAGTTATTAATTAAATAAATAAAGTGGTTGCAGATGTGAATTACCTATCTTATAGGCAACTTGCACTGTATGAATAAGATAATCATTGGAGACCAGATATCCCAGATATTGTGTCCCAGAAATTTTTCATACCTAGTTTTTCGTGGTTTGAAATGTTAATGAATCAAATTAATACTCTATTAAGGTTAAGCAAGTTTAAAATTGGAATAATCTTTTTTAAATGCAGTACAGAGGCACAGGATTTAATGCATTTCAGTCTTCCTGTAAAAAACATACTAAGCCTGTAATAGAAGAAACCAAAGCTGATACCAGCACCTGTCACTGGAGTGAATCTTCAGCCATTTTCATCCTCCTCCCATCTTGTGTCTGTGAGATCCATCTTAATGTTATCTTCCGAGCTCCTCCTTATTCTTCCAAGTGACCATTTTTCAATATATTTCCCCACCAAACAGTATGCATGCAAGTTTTGAAGTGAATTATAACAAGTATTTCCATAATTTATTCTGCAACTATATTTAGTTGTATCTGCACCAGTTTCTTAGCTAGCCTGTAAAATAATTTCTGTATTGATGTCGGGGAATTTCACATGCTTTTAACATGTCACTACTGTCAGGCTGCAAGTCTCTGTGTGTGTGTGTGTGTCTCTGTCTCTCTCTCTGCAGGTCCTACTTCTCAGTTGATGGGATTGAGTTTAACTTTGGCCGTGTTCCAGTGGCTGGCTCTGACTTCTCAACGCACACCTACACATATGATGATGTGCCAGGGGATGCCAACTTTACACATTACAATTTGACTCTTGAAGATTTCTTCTACAAAGTGAGTCCGTCTCCTTGGACCTTGATGTTCATTAGTTTGCTGACATTTGATGGTCCGAGGGTGTAGACATGTTCAAGGTTTAGGGTGTAGGATACTTGGTTCTGTAAATTTATTGTAGTTTCCAGAATTTTCTTACAAAGGATTACTGTAGTTTCATACATAAATGTATTAGTTTTCGTGTGATATTACTTGAATTGTATTTTCGGAGGTTGGCTGCTAATATATTTAATAAGCAGTTGCAGACGGCAGATGAGGGGTGGTCCTCCAGCTTAGGGGTTCGGTGTGAGGCTAACAACCTTTCACCGTAAAAAACAGCATTGTTACGCAAAAATTACCAAAACCTTGGACCAGGGCGGATTCTTTGGCATGACCATGGCACTTGAAAAAGGATATGAGATTTGGAACCTGGAATGTTAGGAGTCTCTGTAGGGCTGGGGCACTGAAATTGGTGAGTAGGGAATTAGAGAATTATAAGTTAGATTTGGTGGCAGTGCAGGAAGTGTGATGGGAGGGGAAGGCGCGATCCCAGTGGAAAATTTCACGTTGTACTCCTTCCCCAGTATTTTCAGGGTGATTCAGTCAAGAAGAATGAGAAGGGCTGGGAATGTGGTGCACATGGATGGGGCAAGAGGTGTGCACCGGGTATTGGTTGGGAAACCTGAGGGGAAGAGTGCTGGGGAGACCTAGATGTAGATGGGAGGATAATCTCAGGCGGAATCTATGGGAGATAGGAGTTGAAGGAAACTGGATTTTGTTGGCCCAGGACAGGGTCCGGCGGAGGGCATTGGGTTCTGTAAGCCATCTACTTAGTTAGTTAATTACATTAAACTAGCACTGTGACTTAATGGCCTTTGGCCCTGCCTGCATGTGATGTAAAAAGCCTCAGCTCAGGTGTAAGAATGTGGCACTGTTGTTAATTCTCTTCATTTGAATCCCACATATCGTCATGGTAAGTCACAAGCTTGTAGTGGTCAGAGTTCATACCAGTATGTCTAGATATGTTGTGTAACAGCAGGTGATTCACTTGTAAGCAGAGCAGTTGTCGACATGCCTAGCAAACGTGACTTTTAGCGAATGCTGTTTTGAGGTATACAGCACTGAGCACTGACTTGAGGGATCTTCATATTGCAGCACAGCCATAGAACTTATGAGTAGAATACCAAGAGAAGGCACATGGGCATAGTGTAGAAACACATTGTGATGTTTGCTTCTACCTGAGCTTATTTAAGAGTGCTGTATTAGTTGCTCAAGTTATATGGCAATGTAGGTGATTGTGAATGGTTATTTGGTTCTGAGGGGAACCACAAGTCAGATTAGCAGGTACCTTGTGAAGAGAGAAGTGTTACTGCTATGCTGACGCGGAAGCTCTTCTCCACTTCTGTCAGATTCCATTGATAAAAGAAGCGCAACAGCTGAGCGATCGAAGGCTCCACCTAGTGGCTGGTGCATGGACAGCTCCTCCGTGGATGAAAACAAATGATGACTACAGTGGGTTTGGTTTCCTGAAGGATGAGTACTACCAGACCTGGGCTGACTATCTTGTAAAGTAAGTGACAGGACTACATTGATTGACACAAAAATTCCGAGGGTATTTCATGTTTCTCTTTGTTACTGCATGTAATGTGTTTGATTTGACAGCCTTAACAATACTGTACTTTGTTTAAATTACTAAGCTCCTTGTTATGTAAGATCTGTGATTCTTCCCTTATTTCATCCCTCTAAGACCTAAGTACTTTTCCCATTCTTGTAATTCATTTTGCTCCCTTAAAGAATGGGCCATGTTAGCTGTGCCATAGCACAGGTGGCCTACACTGGCTTCTTATCCCCATGGCCCTGGTCTGTCAGTCCAGTGGGATTTGTGGTGGTCAAAGTGGCTCTGGGACATATTTCTCTCCAAGCTCCTTGGTTTTCCCCTCATTCCACCGTTACTCCATATTCCTGTATCTTCTGGGAGATGGACATAGGGCATGCTAGTGGCTGCAGTTCCACAGAGACTCTCACCCCTCCACACCAATAAGACATGTTTTATACACATGTATAACAGGTGCTTTGTATATGTTAATACATAGTGAGTTGGATAGTCCTGAGGTAACAGTTTTCAACAGAAGAAGAATTTTATTAGAAATTTAGTTTTATGCTGAAGATGACTATCTTCTGGGATGTTGTGCTATGTGGTTTTATGTTGCTAATGCTGTGTAATGTGGTGGGTATTATTTTTGTTCTGCTGCTTTCTGTTGTACAACCAAAACTCAGCTACGCATGTACTTGCCTCTGGAATCACATTTATCTGCAAGATCACATACTGTTTCTGTAATTTTAATTTCCACATTACTGTTAGTGGAAGCGCACAGTAGACAGTGAGAGACATAATAGCACAAATATCTCAAAAAACAGACTTTATCATATCAGGTCCCAATGAATCTTTAATAACTATAATTCTATTCTTTCATAATGCATAGGTTTCTGTCTTGTACAGTTGGCTGTTAATGCCTCTCCCACATTGCAGATTCCTTGATGAATACAAGAAACAGGGCATAGAGTTCTGGGGCATTTCAACTGGCAATGAACCAATAAATGGAATCCTCCCCGTGAATAGGTTCAACTCGATGGGCTGGACCCCTCATTCACAGAGACACTGGATCAAGCATCATTTTGGACCAGCTCTGAAGAAGTACCACTGCAGTGTGAAACTACTTGCTCTTGATGACCAGCGTTTCATGTTGCCGTGGTGGATAAACATTGTGAGAATGCACAAGATGGATAGTCTGGCTTTATCCTTCATATTCACATCACAGTTTTTTATGACATGCCAGGATATAGTGAAGATGTTCTTCAGTTCAAATTCAAGTTGATGTGATCCACATCCTGTTGCAGCTCATGTCCGATAAACAAGTAGCAGAGTACATAGATGGCATTGCAGTTCACTGGTACTGGGACACCCTCTTCCCACCCAGCCTTTTGGACCGCACACACAACAACTTTCCTGACAAGTTCATCCTTGCAACGGAAGCTAGTGTCGGTAAGAGTTTGGGCAGCTGGTGGTCTGTAGGTGATGTGTTGGAAAAGATAAACCTTCGTAAATGTTTTAAACTGGAAGGCCTCTCCGCCATCATCCTACTGGCAGGGTCAGATAGGGGGGGCACAAACTAAAAGCAGTCTTCACACTCGTGAAATTTTGTTGCAGGTGATAAACCATGGGAATTTGAGAAAGTGAAGCTTGGTTCCTGGAGTCGGGGAGAGTCATACATGGAAGACATTCTAGAGGTAAACTGTATCTAATTATTGCTGCAGGCTTCACAGCTCTTTCCATCAAATTGCTACATGTCTCTGTACATTAATCATTCCAGACTAATGATTTTTTTTCCATGTGAGGAAAATTAATAAGACGGCATCTTTTACTAAGAGAAAATTAATTCAGTGCATCATTTATGAAGTTGACTGGTTATCTTTTTCTTTGTAGACAGCAGTTTAGAATATATTTTTATTACAACGTTTGTACAAATATGATTATATACTTTAGACATGAACTTGAGGCTGAAGTAAAATAAAATACAGGTCCTAAAGCCACAGTTATATTTCAGGTGTTATTTTTGGATGCCCCTTTACCCTGGCACCAGCAGTGTAAGTGTACCTATTACATAATATGTATAGTATTTTCATTTTAGCAGATGCTTTCATCTCACATTTCACATGCAAGTAGTCAAGTATGCAGAAACTGGCTGAATTTTATTTTATTTGCAATTTATATACATTTTCAAATTTTACTGTACATCTGAATAAAGATCACACTTTGGTAATTACAGTGGAATCCCCATTTAATGTTCCTTCATTTCAATGAGAATTTCACTGTATCATTTGAGTAAGAGTATTAGTTATGTCTAAAGGATTAAAGGATTATGATTATTTTTTTGGAATTGTCCGTTGTCCAGATATTTAATCACTGCACCTTTGGAATTGGCCTTCTTTCATTTGTCAGATGAAAAATCATCCTGTCTTTGACTCCAAGACTCATTTTCTGAATCTGGACAGCAGCTGTATGCCAAGGACAAGTTCAGAACATATTAACAACAAATACCACCTGCAGAAGGCAGACCGGAATTATTCAGGTCAAAGTATGAACCTGTACCCAACAGAAATCTGCAGGGGAGAGGACCGTAAAAAATGTTGAGGCATGCTGACAGGTAGTGGTTTAAAAATAACAAGGACAGTGGACAGAATTAAAAAGATTATTCATAAACAAGAATTGAAATGTTACTAAACATACGGAAAGATAATGCATCATGTACATAATTGAGCATCAGAGCTTATGTTCTGTGCAGGATCTGAACCACTGGGTGACCGGCTGGATTGACTGGAATCTTGCCCTCAATCCCCAGGGCGGCCCAAACTGGGCCAGAAATTTTGTCGATGCAGCAATCATTGTTAACACATCGGCCAACGAGTTCTACAAACAACCAATGTTCTATGCTCTGGGCCACTTTGCAAAGTTCCTTCCAGAGGGCTCTGTTCGCATTGGGCTGCAGCCACAAGAGGAGAAGGGTGTTTTGGCTGTAGCTTTTCAGACACCTGACAATGCTGTGATAATAATTTTGTACAGTAGGTAAGTGTTGGTAACAGTGCACCATCTCACATAGCCTGATGATCAGGCCAGGCAACTATTTGCATCACAGTTTACTGTTTTACAAAGTTCATCAGTTGGGTAGTCTTAAAATTTTCCCTGTAATGCATTGCCATGCCCAGTACAGTTAGATAAACTTTAAAAAAATTATATATATATATATATATATATATAGAGAGAGAGAGAGAGAGAGAGAGCAGTCTGACTGCATATCATGTTTCTGGGGAGAACTTTAGAGTAGTGCTGTCTAGTGATGAACACTTAAAGTACAATTTTGCCTATTCTCCTGGAAAATAACCTTGCATTTGATAAGGCTTGATGAAATGCATTTATAATTTATTTATTTTACTAACAGATTACATGACATTCATTTTGTGTCTGCAGGTCAGATTATGATAGAAGAGTCACTGTAACAGTGTCTGACACGAGGCACATCAACTTGGATATTCCAAAACGTTCTTTCCACACAGTCATTACTGGAAAGGTGAACTGAGACTATTAATATTCAGATCCTTTGTCCTCCTCATAGAGAAAGTAAACAAACACATCCCCATGTGGCGTGTGCACAACTTCCTTGTGTTGTATCAACATGGTGGCTGCAACTCCATAAGCTAAGCAAGGGATACCTGCAGTGAACAAAACACATGAAATTGAAGATGCTGTTTCATGCTGTGCCTTACAGTACTGTCAGGCATCATAATGACTGGAGGACTGTGGTGCTGATGAGAATTTCTCAGATAAGAGTCATGTACCTTTATCCTACACGGAGGTGTGCCTGATGTAACAGACAATACATGTGAACTCTCCTGTGAGGCACTTCACCCTGAAGATGGAAACTGGTACTTTCTCCAAAACAGCTTTACCATAATGGTAAGTGCAATTGCTGTAGCCTCCAAGTGACAGGTGGAGATATACACAGGATACACATTATTCTGGCAGGAGAACTTCCTGACAGATGTTAAAATAGGTGAAAGTGGTTATATTATAATTGATGGTTATGTTAATTGAATTAAACTAGCTCAGTATAAGATGCGAAGGTTAACTTTTACTGTGATGGTCATAAACATTCTTATTCTTGAAATTGTTTAATTGCATTGGTATTGATGAAGTTTGAATTACTGTGTTGTGTGTTGATTGGATGACACCTGACTTAGCAGCTGATTTCTGTTACATAACATTCATACCATTCAATGCACAAAGAAATTTTTCACACAGTGTTATAATTCACAAAACTGCATTCCCAAATTGGAAACATTTCACTCTTTGTCTGCAAATTATTTTATTTTTCAGATAGAAATGACCTTAACAAAAAATCAGGTTAATTTCAAAGTGTTTCATGATATAAATTTTCAGTATCATATAGTAAATATTTCCAGTGTTGCTCCTGCCTCAAATGTTTGTTAAGTGATTGAATGTAAGAAGATGGAGGTTGAGTTCTAGTGGCATGACTGAACTATACCCAATAAGAATTGTCCAGTCTCTTAACAAGTCTTTCAAGGGAGAGAGTATGTATATAAAAAATCTTAACATTACATGATTTTTCTTGAAAACTGTCCTCAGAGCCTGTGACTTAAAGAGGTGCTCCATTCAATTTTTATGCTATGATGTATTTACCTAAGTTAATAACTTTTATGAAGCGGAAGAATCTGTCCTCAAGTCTCAAGTCTTGGATAGGTCTGCGCGAACAGTGGTATTTTATGTATGGGTAGCAGCCTGTCCGCAGGACATGATAATTGCTGGTGCCCACAGCCCAGTTGAAATGAGACCAGCCTCGCTGATCATTAACAACACTACTATATTTGACAAAGAAAGATGTCCATGGTGGCTTACTGCATTGTTTTAAGTAACATGACAAAACTTCTGATGATGTGGGTTTGAAGCTGAACTGAGTGCTGGCCACCCATTTCCACATCTCATAACTTCGAGTGGTCCTGAAACATTGACAAAATCTGAAACATCCATGGACCATCACACAGTTAACACAGTCAGGGTCTGAAGTCTACCCAGAGGGCCTAGTATGTCAGTGTATGGATGATGGATCTTTTTGATCCACCAATGACTTATCCTTTAGGACTCCAGTTTTGTAAGAATTCCTTTGCTTGAATGGTGTATTGTTTGTGTCATGTGTCTAATACTCAGGCTTTCTTAAAACTTGTACAGTGTAGAAGTATGTATAATATATAATTTCTAGCCCTACATGCACAGCCAAGTTGGAAGATATGTCTTTGTGGCAGTTCACAACAGCATACCATTATATTTACAGTTGTATTGCAGGAAAATGTTATAAGCTTATAAGTCTCAAGCAAGTAGGCAATTTAATCAGGAGCTTTGCGATTTATGGTCACATTACTTTTGGCACAGAAAACTTTGGTCGTGTGTATGGCATATAGGTCACAAGGTAGTAGTATTTTTCCTATAGTTGTACTACGTGTGCGGCTCTTGTGCTGGAATGTTGTGAAGAGATGAAATTGATTTATCACATGATTGCGATATACTTATGAAATAACTGGCCACCGTGGGTTAATTCTACCTTAACCTGCAAGCGTTTACATGTACACAGCCATTTTGTAATGGAAGTAAATATTCCAAAGAGTAAAATCAGATCAATCACAGAAATTATATGTTCCGGGTATAATTACGAAACTGGAAGAAGATGAGCTGTTTTATGATCGTGTATCGCTATAAATATACTAAATTGTAACTGTGTCTACGTGTGTTTGATCTTGTAATTGGTAGGAATCATTGTTTTTTTACTTACCACGATACCGAGAACTAAATTTGTGAATGATCCCATTAGCTGGAGACAAAGCCAGGAAATGCAGCCATTTGTGTATAAAATGTGGAAACGTGACATCATGTCCGATTTTCATAATGGCTGATGTGTGACAAATGTTTTGTAAATGCTAACCAAAATTTTGAGGTTGCTGATGCGTGAGTTAGTGCAGTGTGTGCTACATTGATGGGAACATTTGTCTGGAGCAAAGCCTTTTTCTGACAAGAAGAGAGGCTGGGTGTAAGTAACGATACATTCTTGCGCCATGTAAGGTAAACCCTAGAAAGGTCTGCTGTATATGACATTTGTCATCATTGTGCCCCTACTGAAAGGCATATTTATAATTTGATTATGAAGTTTTTAAACTAACTCGCTATAGTGTGTGTGAAAATGTCATATTTACCACAAATTTTGATCGTTTGGTTTCAGCACCTGATCTATTTAGAACGTGACATACCTTGTTACGTATTCACCATTTTATGGTTTTGAGTAGTGTGGAACTGTATATGTATTTTAAATTATTATGGAACAATGTTTAATAGCCTGAAATTTACAGCACGTAGATATATTTAAGCAGTTTTTTATTGTATGTAATGCAAGACAAATTTGTACACAGAGTGTATCAAATTATTTTGCAATACTTTTTCTGAGATGCAGGCCTCTACATATATATTAAATGGTGGTATGTTAGTTGGACCATGATGAATGTCGTATTTCGTGCTGTTCTACATTATTGCTGATTGGAAAAGAAGTTGGTTCAGATTATGGTAATTCTCTCCATAATGGGTACTTGTAGTGACGTTTTCATTTTTGAATTTTATATTTGTTATATGTTCTCAAAGAGAAAGAAGTGATAAATGTTATAACCCAGGAACTGAGGTGAAATAACTGTATGTTTTCATTATTTTCATGGATTCTCATTAGGTAACATTTATACAATAAGCAGTATTTGTATATTGTTAATTTACCAAAGAAATCCGACATTCTCCCACATGAGACATTATTATAGTACAGTGGCTTTGTACTTTTACATGATCTGTAAAACATGTGTTGAATGCTTACAAAGCACCAACACAAACCTGATATGCAAACAAAAGAGGCACAAGTGTTTAATCTATCACTGTATTGTGGTTTGTTGATGTCTTAGTTTTTTAGTAAAACTACAGACATTGTTGGTTCCAGTCAAAATATCAAGTAAAAGAGTAATAAGCATCTGGTAGCCATGTAAAAAATACATATATCAGTCTGAACTTATAGCAAATAGAGGTGGCATTTCAATATTGGGTGTACCTTCCCAATTTAGCAGTTATTTCTGTTGCCTTTACTTGATTCATTGGCTAATTAAAGAGCTAATTGAGAAGGTAACAGTCACCCAGTTGGTCAAGAAATTCCCTAGGTGGCTGTCTTTTGGGTTGTTGTGCCATGTAGTCTGGTAGAAGCTTACCAATGTTTCAGACGACCTTGCTGCTTCCATCATCAGGGTGATCCTAATGATGGAGGTAACAAGAACCTGTGAAACGTTGGTAGCTTCTACCAGACTACATGGTCCAAAGCCCAGAACCCAGTCATCTTGGGACTCACTGCCATGAAAATCTTAAATCATACATAAGAAATTCCCTGACTTTTATGAAACACAAAGATTCATTATCATATTCATGAGAGCCCACCAGTGGCCCCATCCTGTGCCGAATTGAACCAGTCAGCATCTGATTTTCTCTCCCTCTCCTTTCTTCACACCCACCCATCTATCTATCTGTGTCTTCCCAGTGTTACCCCTGCCTCCCTCCCCTTCAGATTGTCTGACCTAAATTCTGTACACTTAGTTTGCTCCTTTCATGCATTCTGCAATACCTGCCCCGCTTGATTAGGTCAGTGTAATGTTTGGCATAGAATTGACCTGTAAAGTATGAAGCTCCTCATTATGCAGTTTTCTCCAGTTACCTTCTTCCTGTCATGTCCAGATATTCTCTCCAGTACTGTGTTAACGTAGTGATGTCAAAAACTAATAATATATTTTTATGCTTTTTTTCACAACTTGCCTTATGTTGACAACCCAAAAAGTAGCTGCTTAGTGTGGTGAATTATGATTCCTACAGGTGACCACGTTGAGATGCTTTAAGACCAGGAAGATATGGATAGGCAAACAGAAGAAATAAGATTAGCGCCTTTCTCATCAGGTGAGCTTTATGATGTTTGGATCATGCACTTGAGCCCCTTTACCAGACACCTGCTTGGCCTAATAGGAATTAAATTATGCTGTGTAACCTTTAATCGAATTTAGATTTGCTGGAAAAGTATAAAAACATGCCCGAGTGTGTGAAAGGTAATAATTTTTACTCGTTTTTGGCAGTTACTGTATCTGATGGCCTGTGTCAGAACATCAAATGAGGAAAAGAGGCATAAATAAGTGCAAAGAAATGCCAAATGATGCAGAGGTAAAGTGAAGTGATTACACAAAATCTTTTGCTGACATTTTCATGTCGTGAAAGTAGTACACAAAAATCTTGGATACTGCTCAAGATCTTGGAATCCTGGTCTAGTCTATCATGTTCTTGTATCTACCACTGTTTCGTCAGTCAAGACTGAACGAAAAAGTTTGTGAAATGTGAAGTGGGGGTCCTGATTTGAGTGTGTGAACTGGCTTACTCTTCTGAGAAGTGTGGAGAAAGTTCTGTTGCCACCATTGTTCGTTGTTGTGTTACTGTTTAAACCAGGGCATTGCTACTGACAGTTGTCTACTATCTCAGTTGTGGTCGAAGTCACACATGTCCTATAGAATTGGGTAGTAGTGGCATTTCCTTTTAATGGTTATGTCGCCATGGCACGATTGTGAGGATCTCGTTTGGAACAACTGTAAAGTGAAGGTGTGCTCTTGTGCGCATGCTACCCATACAACGTATATTGTTGTAAATATTAAATTTTATCCAAATCCGGCGGCGATAAGTAGGTCACGGGCAGACGCGTAAAGAACGCCTGCGCATGGTGTTGACCGATCGATTGACCGACCGCGCGCGTCGGGCCGGCTAGCAGCTCGGTCTCAGTGCGGTCCTGGTCTTGGTGCTATCTGGACCACCTGCTATTGCTGCTGCTGCAGCTGCAGGTAGGTAGGTAGGTGCAAACCAAACCTCGCGCCTTGCCTTGTCACGCCTGTGAATTATTTGCTTGTAGAGTGGAGTTACGGAGCCCAGCAATCTGTGTGTACATATTTCGTGTAATGAGAGTGCAGTGTGTTTTCTTGGAGGTAGGATCCAACCTTTTAAATGTTATTTAGGTGGGCCATGCCCTTTACAGGAGGTTGGCGACATATTATGAGCAGCATCCCTCCATCCTTTTCTCGGACTGAGACCTGTTCATATATGTTTTTTAGGCAGGTGATACAGAAGTGGTTTGCCATTGCCTTCTTCTGTGTGTATGGATTAATTGTTGGGATGCCACGGAGAAACCGGGGAAGCCCCGGAGGAAAACTTCGTGTTGCCTAGACCACGGCCTTGCCCAACACAAGTTATAAATTCGGGCACCGAATCGCACCCGGGACACCAGGATTACAAGGCCAGCGTTCTAACCGCTAGACCACCGTGGCCTTTAGCGGCTAGTCCCACCTAAAATTTGACCAGTCTCCGTATTGATGTAGCTGAAAAGGAAAATTAGAAATGACGCCTGGGTGAACTCGTACTGCCTACGTTTTACCACCAGGAATTTCCCTGCACGCTCAGTGTTTTTAAAAGACGTCGTGTCCCGAAACTCGTGTTGTTTCTAGTAGCTGTCAGAGCCTCTTACCATAGGCAACTTCTTCGCTGCATGTGTAATGCATGTAGTCTAATTATGTTACTGTGTAAGGTTACTTAGCTATTATACTTATGACGTGCTTGCGGAGTGGGGGGGTTGGAGGTGCTCAGTTTCTTTAACCATAGTTTTGATCAGCTTCCGAAGGGCTGAGCCACGTATCTAACGGTTATATAAATATATAAAGACCAAACGCGGCCATAAGTGCCCATCACTTGCCCTGTGCCTAGTCATTTTCACATGAAATTATTGACTAACAGGAGAAGTAGCACGGTTTGAGTCCCGGAGACTGTAATGCATGTAAAAAATCATCAGGCAGTTCTTGCTGCAGCCAGTTAAAACAACTTGTGATTTTGCATTAGGAACAAACTAAGAGCAGAATGCTCTTGCTGTGGATCAGTTCGTTTTTTGTCTTGCCTTTTCCTGTCTAAAGAAGTGTAACAATAAAAAAGAACTTTACCTGCTGTTGCGTGCGGGTGTGGAAGTTAGTGCCTTATCCTTAGAAAAGAACACAGACCGAGGGTATTTGGGCCTAAGAGAGGGGAAGTAACGTGGTGGAGAATTTTGGACATTGACGGTTTACGTAACTTTCACATCTCACCAAACATTAGGATGGTCAGATCAAGAGGGTGAGATGGGTTGTCGTGGGAGATATGAGAAATGCATTCACACATTTATTGGGGAAAACTTGAAGCGAAGAGGCGGCTTAGAAAGCCTAGGCGTATTATTTTTATTATTATTTAGTGTTCTGTCTGACGACAGGTCCATATGAACAGGATCCTTCCATCCTTTTCTCGGACTGGGACCTGCTCATATACGTTCTTGGCAGATGATCCAGAAGTGGTTTGCCATTGCCTTCTTCTGTGTGTGAAAGGAGTAATTGTTTGCGATGCCAAGGAGGAAAACTCCGTGTTGCCTAGACCACGGCCTCGCCCAACACAAGTTATAATACGAAGGACACGTTGAAAAATTGGTTGAAAATTTGTAAGGACACTCTAAAGTCTTATCCCAGACTCTGGGTTGCGGAAGGATCGAGAGAAATCTCAAAGTCCGTCTCCTAGACAAGAGTCTTGAAAAGTGCATGAGTCTGTTTTGCTTTACGCTGTGCAAGTTAGTGAGTAACTAAATTGTCTTGCAGATACTTCGTACTGGATCTTGCTAATAGTAATCGTGGTCTACCTTCTATTTTTGCCATTTTGGATTTACGTGGTTCTGCACAATGAGTACACGCGACCAGTTCTAACATCAGGGTGGGTTCCTGTCCTGTCTGCATTGTTCATAAGTGGGTAAGTTGCTTTGGTGTCTATTTTATTTATTTAGTGTTCTGTCTGACGACAGGTCCATATGAACAGGATCCTTCCATCCTTTTCTCGGACTGGGACCTGCTCATATACGTTCTTGGCAGATGATCCAGAAGTGGTTTGCCATTGCCTTCTTCTGTGTGTGAAAGGAGTAATTGTTTGCGATGCCAAGGAGGAAAACTCCGTGTTGCCTAGACCACGGCCTTGCCCAACACAAGTTATAAGTTCGGGCACCGCCGGGAATCGAACCCGGGACCCCAGGATTACAAGGCCAGCGTTCTAACCCCTAGGCGTATATGAGAGGATAATATTAAAATGGATCGTTATGATATAGGAGTGGCGGGCGGTAATGTACCTCCTGGTTACATGAAAGGTAGGGAATTTCACTGGTTGTACGACTGTTGGTTTTTCAAGAAAAACCCTTCGAACGTCGCGGCCGACATTCAGGAGGTTCCGGGTTCGCCATCTTCTTACCCGGGTCTTAACTTTTGAAATAGTCATACACAGCCATAAAACATGGCGACCGCGCTAAACAAGGATTTTATGTGAAGGACGCGTATACGAATACTCTTTGTCTCTTCCAGCTCTCTCCGTCCCTTGAACCGCGCGTCATAGGAAATAATTAGGTAATTGTAGAGAATATCCAAAGGCATGCTAGTAGTCGCTTAGCGGGTCAAGAAATTCCCTGCCTGTTATGGAAACAAGGCCTCTCGTTACTGTAAGTTTTATCTTAATATTATCCTCCCATGTACGCTTAGGTCTCACACGTCTAAAGCCACAAATTGTTGGCTGTGTCCGTGTGTACATATACGAACGCCAGCTCCTTCAGCTTAGGTTGTGATTGCTGTATGGGCAGAAACAGGCCCTCCGTGCTGTGGTCGCTCCATATCTCTCTTTACTTCCTGCAGTTTGAAATTAATCTAATGTTGTTAAACGACGGTGTTTAACTCCGCAAATTGTGACTGAGGAAACCCTCTGCCGCCCCAGGCGGTGACGTGGCCGAGATTCAAACTAGACACATGAATGTTCTTGGTAGGTGGAGCATCCGGAAAGACCCCCGCCGCCCCGCAGCAACGTGCGTCACACTGAAACTTGCGGGCGGCAGAATCAATACGCAACGAGAGCAGGAGGGATGCAGTAGCTTCGCTGCCACGGCGCGTCCTCGTCGGGTTCCAGGCGGAGGCGGATAGCCGACAAGGGGATGGTCCTCCGGGGGAGATGAAATATGCGTACAAAATTTCGGTTGCAACGCCTGAAGGCGGGGAGACATCCAGAAGGAAAGAGACCACTAGGAAGTTGGGAGGATAATATTAAAATGGATCTCATATAAATAGGATCGGGTGGTGTGGACTGGATTCATCAGGCTCGGGGTAGGGACCAGTGGCGGGCTCTTGTGAACGCAGTAATGAAACTGTGCTCCATGTAGTTCCAATAGCCATAGTAGGATCTGAGGTTTTCGTGGCGCTGAGTACGAAGATGGCTGTCTTCTGGGTTGTAGCGCCGTGTACATCTTCCCATGGCGTGGGTTGTTAAGCATAGCAGTCTTTTACACGTCATCACTTCCCGTGAATGCCCAAAATCCCACTTTTTCAACTGCTCTCAGGTTCTGCCCCCTCCTCGCAGCAGCTAAAATTCTTATATTTATTTAACGACGTTTTACGTGACGTGCGCTTGGAGGTATTGGGGAAAGTGCAGTTACTTGCGTCTGTCCCGAGATCAGAAACCATGTTGAGGACCCAGGAAAGCCCACCGGCCGTTTCCCGCTGATACAGCATTTCGTCTCTTCACTACCGCGACAGTGGCCCAGGGGTAACAGCCACCTCGTCCGAAAATCCTGCATGCATTTCTTGTTTGACGATGCGATTATCAGGTGCAGGAGGGGACATTTACGTGATATAAGTGGCCTGTGCTTCCGGTCGACTTTTATAACTTGGCGTGTTTGTCATTGTATTGGTTTTATTATTTATGTTATTAAGTAGCTTAACTTATTTAACTGTAGCATTGACAGGCATGGGGCAGGAACTCCAAGGTCAGCAATTAATATTTTGAGCTTATATTCCTGAAAGTTATACAAAAAACCTGTTCATATGAAATGACAATTGCATGAACTAGTATTTTCCCATATCCAAGTTGGCCGCATGCTGCCCACAGATCATGTATTTGAAAGCCCTGTCATAAATTGAAATTTTTAGACTGTGGTGCTCAAAAATTTAAATTTGTTCTCCACATCAGTGTTGTATTGCTTTGAATTAAATAATCTAGCAGTAGATAGTGGTTGAAGCACGAAGCTCTCCGCTCATCTCGTTCTAGTACCAAGGTTAAGAATGTGTGGAAGCTTTATGTTTATTTCTCTATACATCTTGATGGTGGGACGCTTAAACACAGGCTGATAGATAACTAGTAACATGACAGCTCATAGTTACCCGAGATGGTTTGAGTACTCAGAATTGTCGTAGTTTTCTATAAAGCACGTTGTTTGAATAGACGCATCTGAAGGTTGTGAATGATGGATTTAGTAAACATTGTATTTGCATCAGAATTCATGTTACTGAACATCACAGATGAGTGATTATTGCTTCTGTTTTGTATTCTGGAGGGCCCATGTTCCTGCCTGGAGGGTCTGAGAAATGGGTTCAAGATTTGAACTAGTGACCTGCCAAATAAGAAGTGTTAACAACCACATAATTTTGAAGATGTCCGTCTTCTGGGTTATTGCGCTGTGTAGTCTGGTCGATGTTAACCAACGTTTCAGAGGTCATACTGCCTCCGTGTGTGCCCCTGCCTATAAATCCAGCTCCTCACACCCCATTGGCATATTCATCGCCCTGATGACGGAGGCAGTATGACCTCTGAAACGTTGGTTAACATCGACCAGACTACACAGCGCAATAACCCAGAAGACGGACATCTTCATACTCACCGCTGTGAGAACCTCAAGTCTTACACATAATTTTTATTTGTGTATTAACTGCTACAGAAGGCCAACGTACCATGCTTTTATTATCTTATGGATGGAGGGATAATATTGTAATTTATGATATTAGAGCACTAGGAATTTTTATGAGCTTCAGTTGGTGTAGTTGCATGTTTTCTTCTAGATGAGTGTCCTGATAGTGACGACGACGTGATCACAGACTACCTGGTGCAGTGTGAAGGGACAGGGCCCCCCATGGCAAACAAGCATGGGGGCCCTGGGCCCCTGGTCCCCACCATCAGTGTTACACCACATTCACCTGGTGCCAAACACTACCCAGTTCTTGGTGAGTACAAATATACATGTTGTTTAACTCCCGACCTTCGGATATCCAAACACTGTCATTTGAGAATTTTTTCTTCTTCATATTTTAAGACGGCGTCAGAATCAAATTTGAATTTTGCCTCATAACCTTGCATTCTGAGTTTTTAATGTTAGTTATGAAACATCACTGTGCAGTAGTTAATAGTCCTGTTTTGTAACCAGCTATTATTTCCTTAAATTCAGCAGGCAGTAGTAATACAAGGTGAGGGGAAGAATTGCTGCCCTGTGCTCAGTGTCATGACAAATGGTGTTCCAGCTTCTCAGTTTTGCTCCATCAAATTGTCTCTTGTCTGAAGGAAGTCTAAAATGAGAGCCAAAATGATAACTGGAGTACCTCAGTAAAGAGTTCAGTGTAGTGGTTTTTTTTCCCCTTTAATATTCTCTCTTGTGCCATAAGAAGTTCCAGATGTGGCTGTTTGTTTTATACTTGACAGCAAATTGTGATTGTTGTTTCAACAGAGGACAATCTTCAGCAGTTGCATGAGATCCATGAGAGCATCCAGCACATGCGTGACCAAACAATGGCACAAGCCCTGAACAGTCAGGTGAGTAAATTATCAGTGTCAATTTTTATGTACAGCCATGATCATCTTGGAGACGTGGGTTGTTGGCATCTTATGTGACTTGGTGTATGCTCACAAGTTGTTACCAATGCATCAAAGGAATGTAGCATCTCCATCTTTGGTACAGAGTTACTTAGAAGTGTCTTCTTCTCTGGAAATGGAGGCAAAACGGTCCTCTGAAACTACACGGTGTCAGCCCGTGAGATCACGATCCAAGTTATCACCACTGTGAAGACCTTAGATGTTGCATAATCTTCTTCTTCTTCTTTTACCATTGCTGTAGCTGGGTTTAAGCCTAAGCATGCATAACCACAACTCTGTCCAGAATCTGTTCACCTTTCATTGGGCTCTGCAGCCCTGGCCGAATGCAAACATCTGATCGTCCTCACGCGCCATTGAGACTGTGAATTCTGTTCCATTTATGTTATTATTTGCAGAGTGTAACAGTGTAGGACATTCTGCTTCCTTGTAAAGTTGCTAGTCATACGTCTTACAGAATTTGAAGATTACGACCATCATAGAAAATGACCGGTGGATCTTCTACTGCTTGAGCCAGCTGTGTCTAGTTTACAATATCACAGCCTGCTTCATAATATACAGACACAGTCCTGGGTTTCTTTTCAGTCGATTTTTCTGTATTTCTCTTTTCTCACATAAGATGCTTGACTTGCCTGCCAGATTCCCTTTTAATTTCATTACTTTAGTAATGCTAATTGAGGAGTTCCTATGTGGGGCTCATATTAAAATTTATCCTAGGGCAATAGATAGATAGACGATGATGGAAGACATTCAGCAGTAAACCTTAATAGTTATAAGTCTTGAGTAAGGCGTGTGAAATTAATTCTGTGTTGTTATGGCTAAACAGGCAGACTGGAATGAAGTGATCTTGATTGCAGGTGTTGGGGCTGGCACAATGTGCCAGGCTGAGTGCTTCGTGTCCTTCTCTGAACAATGAGGTTGGGTCAGATCCTGACCTGGCATCAGTCAACTCATCACCTATTCACTCTATAGCTCTAGAGAACTTTGTGTCTCCAGCATATCTTGGAAAAGGTATACAGCAAGACTTTTATGAAAATACAAGTATTGCGGGTCTGCAGTATGTATATTTACTGTTTTAAAATGCTACCCCTACATTTTTAATTCAGTTTCGGTTTAATGCATGTCTGAAAATCATGAAAACAGCAGAGAGAGGTTAGGAGCTTGTGTCTGAGTTAATTATTGATAATTTAACTTTTATGTTTATGAAGTATGAATAGTCCCTGGCAAATGTTTAATTCCAACCTAACCTTCAGAGTATCTCCATGTGGCTCAGAGTAAAAATAATTGGCCACTATTGCATTAGAGACTTAGTCCTACCACCGTGCAGCAGTGCAGATGTTAGTATGACATGGTTTTTAGCCTCTAAAATGGCCCTAAAAATTGCATTGCATTTTGCGTGTGGGTGTGCCATACACTTTAGGAGTAAAGACGTTATTCTCTTCGCTGAAAGTGATACTTCATTGACAGTTGTAGTGAAAATGACATTAATGAAGGGGAAGATTGAAGTAAATACAAGGTTTCTCAGCGTGTGGATAATTCCTTTATATATATATATATATATATATACACACACATTGTTCCCATTAACAATGCTTTCAAACATAGAAAAAAAATATTAAAAACCAAATTTAAAAAATATCGCAGGCTGCTTCTTAATTTCTCCTTCATAAACTATTACGCGTCTTATACACCAGTAAGCATGGTATAATAGCTGGTCAAAAACAGTGGGTTCTTGTTGTGAACATGCTTCTGGTGGTGTTATGTGCAGGGAATTCCAAGAAATGGCTTGTCAGCCGAGCAGATGGTGATGTGCAGCGACGTAGGAGTTGGACAGCCCTAGAGGATCTCAGCAGCAGTGGAGACAAGAGGAAGTCAGACAGACAGCGGAGGTACTGACACGCTGTTCTTGTTGCTTATGTTTGTTCTTTTATATTACTCAGGTATTGATAGAACGGGTTAGACGGTAAGAATCCCACTGAAACAGCCGTATTTTAATTCTTTAAACCTGCACTCCCATATCTCCATATCTGGGTGGTGGCAGTTATACCGCCATTTTGGAGAAGCTAGAAGTCTTCGTGTTCATTGACAGCAGATTTGGTGCACATACTGAGTGTGTTGCAGCATGAGCTTAAGCAGCCTGGACTCAGAGCAGGATGATCCATTCTTGGATCAGGTGGACAGTGCAGGCAGCACTAGACTGCTGGTGATGGACTCTGCCTTGATGATGGGGCCGGCCGGAGGTCGACGTGCCACCCGGGGCACGGGCGGCGCTTCAACTCATTCACTGAATGAGGCAGACCTGCAGGTATTAATCCTCACCAGTTTGGTGGATTACAAGATCAACCACCTTGGTTCCCTTTTCTAGGTCACACAGGATTTCTTTAAAGTCACTCTTCTCTTGAAGTTTTTAAATAATAATTTGTCCTTGTGTTACTCTTCTTGGTTTGATGGATTTGCAAGATTATTTATGTTTACAGTCATGCTGAAAAGAACCAACCAACATAATGGCTTGGAAAGTGTGAGGGTGCATGTAATTTTTATTTGTTTGCACATGGTACAGGGTCTGTTTTTAACTGTTAGTGTCTGCATCTCTTGTTGAATATGTTGTCTTTGTAATCTTTTTAACGCGCCTTTGTATTTGTCACAACAAAAAATAAAGTGGGGCTCTTGACTTGCAGAATGACTTCAACAAGATTGTTGCAAAGAGAGAGGCAGAGAGCCTGAGGCTGTTGCCAGCAAGACTTCCCCTGCAGAAGTCAGTGTCAACGCCTTCTATAATAGCAGTGCAGGACGCTGCAGGTGACAGTACCACTCCCATCATCCCCCCGTGAGTACATTTCTGTCCAGTGGCTGTTTGCTTGAATTGCTGCTATTGCACTTTGCACAGTGTCCTAGTGTCGGCACATTTTTATTTTGAATAATCACCCACCAAAAGCATTACAAACAACATTTGTTTTTTTTAATATTAAGAACAAAGTACAGAATGAAGCTGCGTCTTGAGGTCGTCAAGGTAACGCTTCATAATTTTTCAGAAGTTGGTCAAAAGTCTGTTTACTGATGCCACATTCTGGGTTTATGCCGTTCATGTGATGGGAAGAAACTTATCCTTTCACTAAATTTAGTAAATATGATTGGCTCACTCTTGTTTCGTATCTGCGTTCTTCAGTTGGCAAGTGCTCTGTTGAAGATCAAGTATGTAAAGCATTTAGAATGTTATTATTTTAGTGTTCATTTGTCTATGTATTTATAAAATGGGAATTTCATTGTTTCAGTGTATGTATGTTTCAAGAATGCCTTTCCATTCCTGTGCACATGTTCATAAAGGCGTAGCTTCTCCTGTTCACGTGATAATTTGGCACAGACTCAACATTAAGTCCTTGCACTTATAATGTTCTAACCTCTGTTCAAGACAGGAAGCCTCTGGCTGCCTTTTGTAATGCTTTTTGTGTATGCACATGTTATTCACAATTATTCGTCTCGAAATAATTGGCGTTATTAAATTGCACACCATATGCGTCATCCCAATCATCTTATGGGTATTACCAAACGGTCGCTCCATCCTAAACATCTATTCAGTAGCACTGTGAGGGGCATCATGTCTTGCTGCATGTGTTTGAGTTGCTTGCTCTGTGTTAATGTATGTCAGCTGTCAGCGGCCCAGTGGAACAGAAAGCGAGACAGAAGAGGAGGTATTGGCAGCGGTTCCACCAAATGTCCAGCTCTCTCTGGATGAGTTTCTCAAAGAGTGAGTAGCTTTAAGCCAGCTTGGTGCTGCTTGTGACAGAACGGTTCCCTTTTAGTGGCAAGGCCCTGCGTGATGGAGGCACAGTTTATTCCTGAAGCATTCAAATTAAATCAATCAACATTTTCATAGGAAATGTAGTGGCACTATTTTCAGTTTGGAAGTTGGCACTGTGAGGGTCATGAGCATGGTCGTAAAGTAAGAACTTTGACTGCAGTGATAGAGCTGTTTGAGTGAGTGTTAATTTTTAGTATATGATAAGCTTTTTCCTAATGCCTGTCAGTTGGATTTTTAATGAGATTTCTGTGTACATATGGCAGTATTTTCTATGGAAGGTGATGCAGTAGACAGCAACTCCTGTCTTATCTGGATGAATTTATTATTTTCAAGCAGTGAAAAGATCAAAGGAAGTCTGATGAAGTTTTGTAAGGAAGTTGGCACAGGAAAAACTACACGTGGTGGTAGCTTCTTATGAGAACGTGGGACAAGGTGTGTCACAGTTCACGTACTTCACTGTGATAAACAAATTAATATTATATTCATCAAAAAATTGAGAGGTTAATTCAGTTCTTCCCATGATATATATACTTGAAGGTTAAAGTATACAATATGTCCATAACTTTACCTGTTGTTTTATGTGGATATGCAACTTGGTCGCTTGGGGCGCTGAGAATGCAGTGATGTGTGGAGTGTTTAGACTTAACGGAAAGGACTGGAGAAAAGTCACATTATGGGGAACTTCATTATTTGTTCTCTGCATCTATTATTGTCATGGTGATTACACCAGGAAGAATGGGATGGGTGGAGGATGCATGTGACATATGACATTCATACAATATTTTGATTGGGGAATGTCTGTGAAAGAGGCCTTTTGGGAAAGTTGGTGGTGTAAATGAAAAGGGTGTGAAAGGGTAGACTGGATGGCTGTGGATGGGGTCGGGTCACATGGCTGGCTTTTATGAACATAAAGGCAGAATATCATGAAAGCGGTAACGTTTTTGTTTGGCTAATTCACATTTTAGTATTGAGAAGGTAGTCTTTATATCAATCAAGGGATTTTAAAGGGAGCTGGTTCCAGTGGCATGGACCTCCACATCACTGATGATAGTTGTCAGCTACTTACTATGAAGAGAGTGGTAATGAAGGGCACATGCTACTACCTGAGAGTAATCAGGGTAGAAACAGTAATTGAGCATGCTGCTGTCGACACCAACCCTTTCACAGTAAATTTCCATTCTTGTCACATCTGTCTGTTGAAAATTTTTTAATATTACCAATGCAAAAATACAAAATGTACTTTATGAATAATTATTTTACAGTATTAAGGAATTTAAAATTTTGTTGTGGTTCCTAAGTTACAGTTATTGTGAGTAGAACTACTACTACTACTACTACTACTACTGTGGCGTAACAGCCCAAAAGCGAGCCCTAGCCTCCTCTTGTGAGTAGAACACTGAATTCTTAAGTTTAATTGCAGTCCTTGTTTTCTGATAGGGTTGCATATGAGCGGGATCCAGGCAAGAGGCGGAAACGGGGCAGCATTTTCTTTAGGAAGAAAAAGGTAAAGAAACTTGATGATGTCTGATAGAAAGTGAAATTTGGGCCCTGACATTGTGTTCTCACAAAGAACAGTATCAGTTCTGTAATTTCCATTAACTAAGTGGTTTTAAAATATGAATGTTTCTGGTCGAGCATGACCATTCTAGCATATTAGAATACAGCAGAATTTCATGTAGTTTGTGAGTTCAAGTCAGTAGTCAAGCAAACACAAGAATCTTAATAATAATGGTAAGGTTTATATCATGAATAGTTTAGCAATGGTGCTGTTGCTTAACCATCCAGTAAATGAACAGTGCAGAATTTCTCATTTGTTTGTTAGGACAAGGTAAAGAAGGTTCCTCACCAGTGGGTCTCCGCGTGCTACGGGTCGGCTCATGCTTGTGACTGGTGCTCAAAGCCTCTCACCAACAAACCAGCACTTTATTGTGAAAGTAAGAGTCTCACTGTTTGCCTGATGTGTTTGTAGTTTCAATTAATATGAATGTGGTTCCTCATTCAATTATTTTCTTTCTGTTCAGACTGTGCAACGACAGTGCATCAGAACTCCTGCAAGGACCACATCATGGACTGTAATAAACCAAAGTTATCAAAGGTAAGAACAACAGTAGGTGGGTGGGGCCTTTTTGCTACAGACATTGTATTTTCAGAACATGTTGCTGTGCCAACCAGTGATCAGGTTATTATATTTAAAAATGTTTTAATTGTCCTTCCCAGTATATGCCTAATTAGCCTGTTACAAACATTATGAAATATAGCTTTCCCATTATTTTACAGCTCTTCCTAGGCATATTTTGGATCTTACTTAATACATGCCATTTTGGGGGTTCTTCTGTGAACATATTCTTACCCATTTATTTTTTGGTGTTATATTTTTGAAATGCACTTCATCAGAACAAGTCTGTTCTTACCATGTGTTACACCCATCTTAAAATATCGTCATACTGAACTTGCTGATGGTATCAAATGGTACCAAGTTCATGACACATTTTTAAGTAGTGTATGGGCTTGAGTAGCGTCTCACAATACATGAATGTTTGGGTTGTACGTTTCACTCTTGCTTTTCCATAAATAAATAATTCCTCTCGATTTTGTGATGTTAGGTGTAAACACCACTTCTGTCACAACAGGTGAATACATACATTGAAAGTGAGAGTTTGGATGTTCTGCCAAAATCTGCAACAGTACTTTTTTGCGTTACTCATTTGTTCTTATTCACATAACAAAACATACGATCCACAAGCTGAAACTCCAGGGTGTAAGAATCTTGTTCTGTGTGGTTTATGACATCAGATTGACAAGTAAAGGACTAAGTTAATTAAAAAATGTTTACAAGTCAGTCATGATGTGTTGTGTCACAGAATGCACCCAGAGGCAATGTGTTCCCAGTTGCCATAGCCACTACAAAGCAGACGTCTGCCAAGAGGGGGTCTGCATCTCAACCATGCCATGTGCACAGCGGCAACAGCAGCAGGTAACATGAGTCATTTTACATTTTCGTTGTGCCAGGATCCAGTTTCTGTATGTGTTGAATTCAGAAGTAAGGCGCTGGCAATACCTGGTGGTCCGTGTATCGTGATCTGATTTGTGACATGCCATCTGTGAACTTGGTTAAATTTTGTATGTGAAAATTCAATTCTAGCCAGTGTTCAGAAATGCTAATATCATTTGGGTCTTGTTTCTAGAACGTAGGGAAATAAGTTTCTTTTTTGCTCATTCTCACAGATACTGATGAATTCTTATTAGCTTTAACTCTATTGCTGCAACATTTGACTGCAGTCAAAACTTGTGTGTTTTGAAAAATATGACTTCAGTCCACATCAGAGAATAATCTTTATTCACTGCGTCAGTCGACTGTGAATCCGAATGCAACAACAGTGAATGTGGAGATCATGACAGTGGATGAGTGTGGGAAGTGTTTAAACAAGTGAATGAATGGAATGTATTAGCAAATTAATTTAAAATCTTCACCTGTTTGTGCAAAAACAAAAGATGTAAGTGACCGAAGTTGGTTCTCACCATTTGAATTTTTCAGAATTGTTTCGTTTATAAATGCGTGACCTGATGACAAGCGAAAAACAGATGATTATTCGTTGTATTTTGAGAAGATTGTGCAGTACCTGCCTAGGGCTAGGTACTGGCAATGAAGGAAGCTGCAGCACATGACATTAGAGCTGCTGTTACTATGGAAATTGGAAAATGATTGCGTCAAAAATCATCATTAGCATTGTATTGCCTGGCCTGCTCACCTGTATTTTGTAGAGATCAGTATCAAGTTCTTGGATCATTTCTGCTGTATGGGGTTATGTCTGGGCAAGTACCATAAAGGAAAATACAAGTTTGCTACTTCATTTAAAATCAGCTGATAATTGTTCTTACCAAGGAAATGCACGGATGTTCTTCTTGTGGTGTCAGTTGATGAATGCATGCTAAGTTCGAAGCACAGACGTCTAGTGATATCCAGATCGAGGCCGATTGCATGAGCAGTTAGGACACTGACAAGAAATATTGAAAATAACGGCAACATCACGTGTATGGTCAGTTTTAATTGTAGTGATCTCTTCGGGGATCTTGTAATGAGTGGTATGTGGAAAAATTTGTGCAAACAGAAAAGGGTCTTCTAACACTGTAAGGGATGCCAAAACAAAAAGCGGTGCCATGACCTGAATTTGGACCTCTCATCTGGATGAAGTAAACCACATGATTTGATATTTTATTATAGAGGTGTGTCTGGTCAATGCGTAAAAAAAATCCTGGAAAACAGCTGACGCACAGGAAATATCAGTAATCTGTCCTCTGTGGATTTCATGCAGGATTTGAGAGGAGAGCGAGGGGGTGTCAAATTTCCAGCATGCTAGATGTGAGGCTGATAGAACCTCAAGAAAGAGAGAAACAGAATAGATCTGTCTTCAGTGTTATGCCTGCAGGAAACAAGGGGGATTGCCAGTCTGTACAAACCGCAATGTGCAGAAAATCATCATTTTTTGGCACCCATCTGTGCATTCTTATGCACAGATGTGTTTAGTATTTTAGGTGTTATATGTTATGTTTAACAATACAACTTAGTAAAACATAATACTGTGAAAATTGTACACAAAGTTAGCAGAAAGAAGGTTAGTATTTGTTTGTACGCAAGCAGTTCACCACTGATGAAATGTACAAGCATAGTTTGCATGTCAGCTGTAATTACAACAATACATCTTTGTTAGTGAGAGTTTTACCTTACAGTTATGTTTCTTCCATTAAAGCAAAATGGTTAAAGCTACCACTGTCACTGAAAGCTTGACCACAGTTTCCAGATGAATGAACACACTCCAGCAGGTATCGCTTGTCCGTCAGATCTGCATCACTTTTTGCTTCGTTAGCATCTGATAGTCTTGATTTCATGGTGTTATTGTCAAGGCTTATTTCATCATAGCTGCTAGAATTTTTAATAAACTATATTTACCACACACAGCCTTCTAACCATTCTATTGATGTGAAATGCAACCTTTTATAGGGCTGGGATTTTTTTGTGCTTATTTCATTTGCTGCCAAGTTTGGATTTTCCATTTTATGATATATATTGTTGCTTATCCGTGGTAAGTTGCCATACAAACACTTGCTTCACATATACTCGTACTGTGACAAGGACAATCTGTACCACAGACTGTGGACCTGCATGAGTGTTTTAATGATTAAGCAAACTTGAAGAGTCACAGGTGATGTTCCAAAGCAGAACGATTTTAAGTGTTTACAGCAGGTTAACCAACTCACATAAGTTTAGTGTTTGTAATACTTACTGAGTTTCAGAAAGTAGAATTTAGACAATGTGTTTATATTAGTTTATTGGTAGGAGAGTTGGCAGTAAAGCAGATATATTCCCAGTAGATGGTTTTGAATGGGTTTGGAACTGGAATCTTCACCTGGAGCATGGAGTGTAGCACTTCAATCTAGTGCCAAGGTCTAAAATCTTTGGAAACTCGGTTACAGTGATTAGGCGTGGGTTGAGGCAATGATCATAGTTGTAGTATGTGCGTGAAAGGCTTGAGGCTCCCACTTTTGTCCTATTTGGCATATCTGACCGTACCAAATCATTTGTCACGTTGTACTAGGACTTATAAAGCCTCATCTTACATGGAATATATACAGACGAGCGATACAACTGCAGTCTGTGGAAATGTGCCTGAAGATTGCTTGGTCAAGATGTAGCAGGGTGCATGCCACTGTACTCTTGTAAGAACATCAGACTCGTCTTTCGGTCAGCTTTCATCTCCTCATATTTGTTGCTCACTGTGCTTTTATACAGCGTGGACAAAGATTATAATAGGACATAAGCATAGAGAGCTGTGCACATGTTCTTGTTCTGAAGTTGTTTGGAGGCCATGTAGATACTGCCGTGATGTGCACAGGTGACCAGAGTAGTGTGATCTACCATTTGTTGGGCAGCATTACAGAGAATTTAAGGGGAAAAAGTGCAGAAGTAAATACTCCAGTTGCGTTGTTATCAAAAAGTTATCCATTGACTGCATGGTCTAAAATACTAGAGAAAATGAGAGTAAGTTTTATATATATCTGTCTTACGGATGTTGTTTGTTGTGTATTGTACTTTGCATGAAGCCCATCATAACCGATAGAGTGGTCAGCATGATGGCTACTGACTTGCATTGTAACAATGAGTAAGTCTCAAGCTTAGTTGCATTTGCTTTGGGTAGGTTTGCAAGATGTGTCTTTGTTTCATTTCACATCTCTTATTTACATTTTCTTTGCCACCAAGAGGACCTGTCACTTGGTGGCAGAAAAGCCATACTCCTTGACAAGATTTTCCACCATGAACTAAAACAAGTTGATATTATTTTAAACAGAAGTATCAAACTGTATAAATCTGCAAAAATATTGTAGCTCATGTCACTGATAAATGTGGTCCAGCCTAAGAAAGTAAGACACATGTTAGCAAATGGCTCCACCAAGCTGAGGCCCTGTGCCCCCTTGCTAATCTGTTGCTTTCCACCCCACGCCCACTCTGCCCCTCATACGCACACCCTCCTGCTAGGAGGATTGGCTGCTACTACTCTCCGTGGAGGCGCGTCGCCACTAAGCTCGGAGTGAAGTAAGTTGCAGGCAGCTCTTCTTGTCTTTTTCTTGCTGTCCTCTCTTCTCTTTCTCATTTCTTCCTCGTTGGGAGCCGTAGCTGTGCAAGTATACTGTGTACTTGAACTGAGACAGGACAGCAATCTGTTGCATTATTGCAGAGGGTGCCAGCGTAAGTCTTCCAGTAGGTGATTTATGACATCACGTTTCTCATTTATGTTTGTTGCATATTCTAAACTCAGTGTGCCAGTCACCCACAAGATTGTGAAGTAGAGAACCTGACCCAGTGGATAACTACACAGTTCACTTGCACTAAATGCTAAGGTCGTGCGTTTCTGCTTTGCCTCGTCTCTCCGTGTTTTTGGATTGAAATAAGTGTAGCGCATTTCCATGCACTTTTTGCAGTTATTAAGGAACTGTAGTAAATAATACTTGTATGTTGCAGAATGATATATTGTCTATGCCTCAAGATTTATCTGTACAAGAAAAAAAAAGTGGGATTCTAAGGAGTTGTTTGAGCAGAGGTTTCTATTTAGCAAACAAGTAACTTCTCATGAAAGAACCCAAAGGCTGAATGTTACTAATACCAAATTCTCCTGTTGGCCATGATCCTGAATCAGTTCCATCTATCGTACATCCTCGGAATACGTTTTCCAAAGATTTGTCTTAATGTTATTCCACACACACCTTCTCTGTCCTCTGCTTTCCTCATCAGAATTTTGTGTAATTTGTCCCCCTGTCCATGTCACATTTTTGTCCCATCCTAAATCCCCGGACTTTTGCAATAAAAATTGTAGGTGGCCTTATAGTGTTCATCCTTCTTGGGTCTGGATATTTTTGCAAACACTTTGTTTCCAAGAACAGTGGGTATATAAGAGGATGCTGAGAAATGCAGCAATGTGGGAAGTGCATCCTCTCTGGCAGTGTAGTCCCTCGTGTCGCTTGTGTTGTCTTCTGTTGAGTTGTGATGACGGACTGCAAGTGCATGCTGCTGCTAACGTTCTGTTTCTTATTTTGTATTCTAAATTAAATTGAACATACAAATAGACACGTTTTTTATTGTGGTTAAAACTTTAGCTTTATTATTAGTCAGTCTTGTTGATTTCTATTATTTTTTTTTATTCGAATATTTTTAGGTTTATACTTCTTATGGCTTGAGGCCTGTCAGCTTCCTTGTTTTGATTCTGCAGATTGCGAGGTTTCACTACTACCTATAAAGGCAAGGGAGCATGCTGTGGCAAAGCTAAAACACGAGACCTTCGCAGTTACCAGGGTGCTTATTAACTTCAAGACAGGAACATTGGTGTGTCACTTCTCACTTGAGTCTTATGTTTACATGTTCTTGTCAGAACTCTGCTTCTTAGGATAGCGTCTCTTGTAGATTACACCGCAGAAATTTGAATAAAATAATAATTTGCTTAGTGTTGCAATGGGATGTGAAGGATTAGTACATATTGGAGTCTCTTGATAAAGGCTTCGAAGTGTCTGAATTGACCGCTGTAATTATTTCTCAGGAGGGGTGACAAATTTCCTATTGTGACCACCATCAGGCACTTTCGCTGTATTGATAGAAACAGAGCATACCAAGATGTGTGTCTTGTTATTGTGGCAGTCGTAAATACATAAAGTATGGTACAGATAAGAAGTTTTTATTGCTCTCAGGAAACTGGTAGGTTATAGGGGAAGGAAAGGTGAATTTTTGGTAATGTGAATTTTATTCTTCTAAAAAGTGTATGTACAGAACAGATTGATCTTGTGCACCCTGGTGCCTGCTGCAGGCAGACTTGCAATGTAATGCTTTCTGGCTGCTGTTTTTCATTTTCCTTTTGTGCTTGTTCTGTGCAGTTACATTGGTTATGAATTAGGTTCAAATCATAGCTGTAACACTGATCATGCTATTTGCTCTTCCAGTCAGATCATCAGCGAAGAGAAGGAGGGAGATGGTTCACCCCACGAAGGGACAAAGTGAGTCAGTCACCTTTTTTAATTGCTTTCAGAATTGTAGCATTGCCAGTCTTAGCAAAACATACAGTACATGGAGTTCCATTGTACTTTCTAAGCACAGGAAATTTGGTTATGTTGTGACCATGATGGCACTGCAGTTTTCTGATGATTGTTGTAATGGGTTCAAGCATTAAACATGTTGGAACCTGTTAATGTAGGTCTCAGGTGATCAGGTGAGGGCAAAGCACCTCCATAGTTCAAAACCTACATTCATACATAGCTTCTGGCAGCCATTTTCACTCAAGGGTAGCTGATTTATTTAGGGAGATGTTGGCAACAGCAGTATGCTAGGAAATTCGTTCACCACATTAAGAGCAGTAACGCAAGGCTTTGTGTTTCTTTCAGTTTCTCTGATGAAGGATCACAGGACAAATTTGAGTTTCTAGCAGAAGGTAAGCATTGCTAATATCCTGTGATGGGTAAAATACATTAACACTGAATTTTTCGTAGCATTTTCCATATCATTTCTTTTGATGCGTTTGGGAGCCCTCAACAAAACTCATCATGAAAAACTGTTTAAGTTACCTGTGTTTCAGATCCCATAACTGCAAATGACTTGGAGACCGATCCTTCCCTTGGCTTGCAGGTTGAGGAGCCAGACTCGTGGACCCCAACAGTTGGAAAGGAGGTTGGTTGTGTTTCATGAATAGGCATTTTCCATTTGTTCAGCATTTAATTTATATTTACACAGTTTCTGGCCTTTCTACAGAGTGATTGTCAAATTTATTTTAATGACAAATTTCAGTGATGACTTTAGATGCCAAACTGTACTCGTCCAGATCTTGTGCTTCTGCTTTACCTAAAAGCAGATCAGTTGAAAATGGACAAGTTGTGTTTCTGGTCTGAATGTGTCTGTTTTCGCCCTCTGTGAGGTGCTTTCAGAAGCTCCAAAAGTAAGTAGGTCTGTGGGTTATATAGTCATTCTGATGCATGTTTCAGGTGGTCAAGAAACTCAAAGAAAAGGAAATAAAACGTCAGGAACACATTTACGAGTTCATCTTGACAGAAAAACACCATTGTCTCACACTCAGTGTCATGCAGAAGGTATGAGAATTCTAAATGTTGTCTAGCTGAATGTTATAAGGTAAAACCATTTGGTCTCATGTGGCAAACATAATATGAGGCTCCAGGTCAATGTGATAAAGAATGATTGTGTAACTGTGGACACAATTGAAATTGAAGACCGTGTCATTGGCAGTTACCACAGCATTATAGTTTTAGCCTACGTCTTTGAAAAAATATGCAGCTTTTGTTATGGTGTTTTTTTGTATAATGCAAACAAAGAACATAGTGGTCATGCCAACATAGCTTCAGTTTGATAGTGAAAACTGATGAGCCATTTGAAGCCAGGAATATGACATTTGGTATGGAGGTAGATCATAAACATTACTACAAATTGTGTTAAGAATATTGTGAACATAGTGATGATGCCATACTTTGAACTTGTATCAAACTTAATGTAGTCAGAATTGCTGCTTACAATAATAAACTTTTTCTCAAACACTAATGTTGTGTGTGCGCATGCTTTCCACAATTTCTTGTATAAGTGGTCTCGCACTGATTATATTAGCATTTGTCAACAGCTCCTTGCTTGTTGTTAGGTATTTGTAGAAGGTCTGCAGAAGCACTTCCAGCTAGGCAAGGACTTGGAGAGGATGTTTCCTCGCCTGACAGACCTGACGGAGATTCACTTGAGCTTCCTTCAACGTCTGCGTCAGCGACAGAGGTTGGCGCCTGTGGTGGACACACTTAGCGATGTCCTGCTGGAACAGTTCTCTGGCTGTGGTGCCCAGAAACTCAAGTCGGCATATGGAGAATTCTGCAGCCGGCACAGGGATGCTGTGGATATCTACAAGAGTTACCTGCATGACCAGCGGTTCTCAGAGTTTATGAGGCACTGCCAGGCAAACCCACTGCTCAAGAAGAAGGGGATCCCTGAGTGCATTCTGTTTGTGACACAGCGCCTCACCAAGTACCCACTGCTCATTGAACCTCTCATCAAAACCTCAAAAGACAATAAGCTGGAGCAGGAAAGGCTCAGCAGGGCCTTAGCACTTGTCAAGGTAAGGGGTGCCTTCATTTAACCATGCAAGATGATGCAATGGGACAGCATGTGTATATTTATACAATCACATGGACAAAAATGGAGAATGTTGACTTAAGGAATCCAAGGTAGGATATCCTGTTACAAAATCCATACCTTTCTTCTCTGTCCTCCCATGTCCTGTCTTCTTGCATCTTTGTGGCATGGTGCTGACACGCTAATTCACATCGAATAGTTTGAAATGTAATAATGTTGGTCCTTGTGTTGTGGACAGGAAATTCTGGTTGAGGTGGACACCCAAGTGGCAGAGAAGGAGAAGGAGGACAGGAAACTCGAGATCTACAACAGAATAGAGGCCAAGTCCTTCACAGTTCACCGTGGGCACAAGTTCAAGAAGTCTGACATTTTGTCCAAGAATAGGAGGTTAAGGTCAGTCATTGTTAGAACAAACAAGTGAAATGCGCTTGTTTGAGATTCCATTAGCTTAAGATGATTAATCAGCTGATCAGGAAAATTGCTGTTGGTCTGAAATTTGAAGGTTTGTTTAATCAGTACTTTGCATTGATTTCCTTCATCAGTGTGTGGTCTGTTTACATTTAAAAGATTTTGTGCCTTGCTGCAGGTTTGAAGGTGTGGCAATGCTGATGCAGGGTCGCGGGAAGATGCAGCTTGTGTTGGTGATTGTGCTCTCTGATGTCCTCTTCTTTCTGCTGGAAAATAACCACAAATACTCATTCTTCACGCCAGACAATAAGGTGATAACATGTTGAATGAGTTCACAAGTAGGATTCACCTGCTGTGGTCATTGGACTGTCCTGCACATGTTCTTTCCTTCTACTTTTTAACTAAATATGCGTATTAATATTATAGTTTCATGTCTCTAATAGTCTCTTCCATTGATGTTTCCTAATCAAAACTTTGTGTGTAATTCCTCTTTAAGCCTTCTTGATTTAATTTCGCCCATGTAACCAAAATTTCAGGATGATTCATGCAGTGTGCAGATTGTCACAGCCTGCCTTTTCATTATTCAGATATTTAATTTTGAAAAAAGAGGTGTTGTAGCAGACCTTGGCACCATTTTCATCTGGTTCTGAGGGAGCCCCCATTTTGTTTAGGTCTGTGAAGTGTTTGCTTCTCATGTGGAGTTTTCTATTAAAATCTTGTGTGTGCTTTTTACTCATGTATCACAGGCAGGCGTGGTGTCGCTGCAGAAGCTCCTCGTACGGGAGAAGGCTGGACAGGAGTCGCGGGGTATTTACCTCATTTCTTCCAGTCCTGCTGATCCTGAGATGTTTGAACTCAAAGTCCACAAACCAAAGGACAAACAAGTGTGGATACGTGCTATCAGGTGAGACTGACATTCTTTAGTGAAGAGGCCAAAATGAACAGATTGAACAGAATATCGCAGTTGATATGTGGCTTTGTTTTCAGGTCAGCAGTGCAGACATGTCAAGAAGATGAAGATGATGCCATAGTACTTAGTTCTGAAGAGAGACAGAGGCTTCTGGAAGCAAAGCGGGCGCAGATACGACAGATTGTTGGTAAGTGAGGAAGGAGCAGAGTGTTCAGAAGTTACAGGGACGTTCTTCATGTTAGAAATTATTGAAAGAAGAAATTAAGATTTTAGGTAGAAGACAATTATTAGTTCCAGTTTGTATTGATGCAAGGAGTAGCAGTTATTGTTCAGATTACAATCCGTTGTCTTCCTGTGCCTTATCTAGAGGCTTAAAATTAAGACATTTATCATTTTATTATTTTATGTGAGTGTAAAACTAGGTCTCTTACTGTGATGGAAGCATGTGAATTGAGGACCTGAGGAAGAGGAAGTGATGAGAGGTCAAAGGATACTGCCCCATAATTTGCATTTGCTACCAGATGTCATTAGGGCAACTGAAGTAAGGAGGAAGGAGATGGGTGAAGCATGTGGTACAGGGAGAGATGATGCATACAAAGTATGAGTTGGAGAACCGGAAAGGAAGAGGCCATTTAGAGGAACTGGGTATAGGTGGATGCATAGTATTAAAATGTGTGTAAGAAATGTGTTATGAGGATTGCAGACTGAATTTATGTGGCTCAGGATAGATGGATATGGTAAGAAATAATCACTAAAGGTGGGGAATTCCTTGACTAGCTGAGCCATTCTCGGCCTCTCAAGAAGGACACTGCTCCATGGAGTTAACTTAATTATTTTCTGTAGGTACTGTGATATTTCTAGAGGCATATTCTTGGCCCTGTGTAGTATATTTATTTTATGCAGTGATTTACAGTATGTATCTTCACAGATGACAAAACTTAAGTATGTGAAGTGAAGGCTTAAAATACATTAAAACAAAATGTTTGTTGTGTATTATTCATACGCTACAGCAATTCACAGTTTTGACTTACATCGTCATTTCACCACCACAGAGTGTTGCAAAGCTCACAATGTACATGCCTGTGCACAGTACAGTTAATGCTGATATTTTAACATATGTGGCATTGATACTAAAATATGTGCTTAGTTAGTTGTCCATATTCATACTTCATGGATGGAAGTATTCAGGGCAGACATCGTTTCTAAACTGAGCAGGTATACCGCTAGTTACATAATTCTATAGCATTCAGAGCAAATGGCTTGCAAGTATTTTCAGTGATCTATATACTAGCTTCTCACATTGTTTTAACCATTTAGTTCAGCCATAATTCAGTTCACAATTATAATTAATTTTCACAGTGGGAAACTTTCTAAATTCGATTGTAAGATTGCTCATTTTACTTGGTTTGAAGAAGTGTCGTTAAATGTTTACATTTATGGTATTTTTATGTGTTTGCATCATTTAGAAGATTTGTTATAAGATTTTAATTTTAGCAGCTAATGTTCAGAGTGCACTATAAGATCACGTGACCTGTGTTCTTGGTGGACTTTGTGTAAACATTTTTGCTTTTGATAGCCACTGTCCTCCAGTGCCCACAGTTATAATTCTTTGTTGTGTTCGGTTCAGTGGACTCACCCTTGTGAGCAGGCCTACTTACCAGGTGTTTCCTTCAAGGATGGAATATCGCTTGATGTGCACAATGTTACGTTCTGTGTGTAATTCTGTTTCTCAATTTCCAAAGGCAGCGGTTTTGGATTTGAAGGTAAATCATGGAGTTGACTGTTAGCTGTATGTTGCTTATACCCAGAACTGAGAAAGGAAAGGTCATTTACTATAGGCAGAGTGTCAGTGCAGTTCAAAGTTGTTGCTCTTCCTTTCTTACTTCATGGGTGGACAAGGCTATTTGCTTTGGCAAGGAACAGGGCATGTACTTTGCTTGGTTTATGTGTGCACATTGAATGAGAAGTGACTGTACTGTTAGCAGTTGTGCTCTGTTTTTAAGGTACCTGCTGTGCTGACATTTTCCTGGAGGGATTGAGGAAAACTGCAAAACTCTGTATGCGTTTCTGGGGACCTCTTAGATTTTTTACTCTGTGAATGTAAAGTAGTGCTTTGGGAAACGAACTAAATTGCCTTGAGTGTCTTGATATTCGTAAAGTTTCTGACTTGTCTGTTCCTGCATCTTTGTGTTTCTTCCTGTCTTTGTCCTTTTGCTGTGGCATGAAACATCACACAGTTGCTCTGCAGAGTATTGAAACATCAAGCGATTGCTGTGCAGATACCGAAAATGGAAAAACCTGGTAATGAAACAGCAGGTCACGCTTACTATTTTTGTTGGTTGATAATTTTACCAAATTTTTTAAAGAATTTTTTTCAGTAACTCAAGAAAACTGTGCTATTTTTAAGTGTAGCCAATGTCAGCTGATTTTGCGATGGGGGCTTTTTCCACAGAAGTAAAGCAGTCAGACTGACCACTTATCTCCCTCTAGTGCAGAACTTAAAATGTGGCAACTTTGGATTCAACTTTTGCCACTAAAATTAACTCAATTAGAAGGACATATGGATCCATCAAGCATGAGCTCCACTTTGGTCAAGATCTTTTCCTTATCGTTGCTCCTCCTTTGCCTTTCCTCCTCTTGTACACAAATTCATGACATTAATTGTAGTATGTGGCTTTGCTGTTGCTTGTTTCACAAATACATAAAATGGAAAGTGGCAGGGGCTGCACATATTCATTGGTAAGAGTTAACTGCAGTTGGCGTTACTGCACGATGCATTGAATGCAGCAGTAAATTTGCATTTTCCATCCTACTTGAGACATGCACCAAACTTTAACAGCAAAGTGTTAAACATGAGCTGGCCATGTGTAAGCAGTAGTTGCATATGTGTGTATACATGTGTTCAAATATTTAAAGGCTGGTGCAAAGTATGAATGATGCCCTGATATCTGATTGGACCAATGTTGTGACTTTGCCATCAAGGCTGGTGTATATGGCAGTCATCACATTAAACTAAGTTACTTAGCTGTGGAAATGAGTTTTAGCTGTTTCATTTGCCACATTGAATTGGGGTGTCACAAAGTGTCTGCAACACCGGTGCCATGACACTTTGACACATCACCTGACATGAAGCAAAAAGAATGAGTAGACATTTGTTGTCAATGTCGGTGCCTTTGTAGCCAGAAATGGTCTGCAGTCCTCTCATTTCAAGTGTAGAAAATATTTTAGTTGATTGTTGTGTAAGGAATTCTTTCATGGACATGTCAGTGCGACATTACGTCACAAAGCCTGGCTCATATACAGAATGAGTTGCAGCGTTTCATCAGCAGAAATCTGTATGAACTGCTACTGTGTGCTATTCTTTGTTTATGTGTTGGAATGTCAATATGCAAGGTATTATTTGATGTGAATACGTAATAATGCTAGACTCGGTGCATTTGGAAACTCTGAATTTGAGCAGTTTTTAAGAAAAGGGGTTTCCATTTCCTGTGATTCATCTAAAACACCCAACATGGGAGTTTCAGCTGTATAGGAAAGATACTTTCTGCCTCTCCGACAGCTCTTAACATCAGTTTTTTTCTTTGTTTCGATCAGCCGTGTAATAACGCCTTATCAGGTGCGGAGGTAGTGTAGTACTGAATGAAATTTGAAGACCACAATTGTTTGTATGGGACTTGCCGTTCTTTGGCACTCTAATTGTACACAGTTCTGTATTTAAAGTAGTTTGAGGAAATATTCAGAAGGTTAGTTTGGTGTTCCGAGTGCTTACTCTAATTTATCAACCACGTTGAATTCACAATGGAAAATAACCTTAAACTACTATGAAGGAAGGAAAGCATTTCGGATAAATGCTGCAGCCCTAGATGTGTGTATCAAGTTTTTAGCCTTCATTCTTACCCAGAGGATGCCTGTTGCAGGGATCCTGCGTCAGAAGGACCTGGAGCAGGCCCAGATCCTAGAGGAGAAGATGGCCCTGCAGCAGAAGCTCCTTGCAGCCGCAGGAGTGGAGAATGTGTTTGAGTCTCCTAACTACTGCAACCTGGTGACAGAGGACTCTGACAGCTCGGCCATGTGGCAGGAAGTGCTGTCCGCAGTCCAGGTGCAGTGAGACACAGAGCCTGCTGCTGCATTCAGGACCAGCCGCTTCCTCTGACTTGTACAGGCTCCGTCTCTTCCTTTACATTTGTTCCACATCTTGAATTCTTTCAGTATGCTTCATTTCAAATTGCTTCTTATATGTTTCTTTTGTGTTGTTCTCTCAGACACCCTTCACTCCCTCCATGAATTCTCTCACAGGTTTTCCCATTTTTCTACTGACTTCATGGTGCAGAGTCCTTCATGAGAATCTGATAGGTGGTCAATTAACTAATCAAACAATTCCTCTTCTTTCATGAAACCCAAGAAGTCCATTGCCAAGTTCACAGAAACCCACCACTGGATCCTGTGCTGAACCACTCCAATCAAATCCTTACCTTCGCACCTTGTTTCCTTTAAGACCCGTTATAATATTATTCTCCCATCTACACGTAGGTCTCTGAAGTAGATCTACTTTATTTTATTCATATTTTTGTGCTAGAATTTTGTATGCATTTCATATTTTCTCCATGCATGTTATGTGTCTCACCCACCTGATCCTATTTGACTTAGTCACCATAGTGATACTTGGTTTATGAAGTTTTTCATAATGTAATTTCATTCACCTTCCTGTTAGCATCCTTTCTCCTTACAAAGTCACCAGCTTATCATCATTCCTCCTGGTGTTTGCCCCATTTAGTCTCACATATGTATTAAAGAAAGCAGTTTTTCCATATTGTTAGATGTCTTCGGGGGCATCTGCCCCCCCCCCCCCCC